CCCTGTTGATTCTTAAATTCCAGCGGGGCCTACTAAATTTTATCCCCTTACACGATCTAAATCGATAATTTATTATACGAAAAATATCGCATTGTCAACGAATTGCTTACTTTTCCCTTGTACTTTGGGTGCGGTTTTCAATCGTTAGCTGGGTATATAGGATGACTGACGCCAAAACAGTAGTCTATATAGCTACGAATGAATGAATGAAATATGGTTTTATGGCACGTCAGCACCAACCGGGCTATATTGCGCCAAACATATGGTGATTTAGACGAGACAATATATAGGTAGAAAAAGGCTCAAATGAGACAATTAAATTGATGGAATGTTCACATACCACGAGGCAATATGACAAAAAAAAACTTCCAGAATATCGAAACTATGATCTTCAAACATTTGTAAACAGTAGGACGTTAAACGCCATTTTATTTCATTTCAAACATTTGTGTTTTCTTTTTTCTTTTTTTGAGGGGGGGGGGTATGTTTATCATGGTATGCGGGATAATAAAAAAAATGGATCTAATAAGGAATATACGTAGGCTAATTAATTTATTTACGTTGGTAAGCTGCAGTGTATATGTGATGAACTTCAAAAATCCTGTTCAATTACGGACGTCTAAAATTGGAACTATTCGCAATTTTAGCTTCATATTTATGCTGTTTTTTCTCCTGAAAACAGAATGCCAATATTCCTGGCTAATGATATTTGTGAAAACATATAACTCAATTTGCGTAATAATGCTTGCAACCGGAAATGACAGATTTCAAATCAATTATTCTAAATATATCTTCAGGCAATATCAAATACAAATTGGCCATGTGTCGCATACTGCGAAAATAAGTGTGTGATATATTTCCGGTTCATTGGAAGAAAAATAATAATGAGGCAGAACAAGGAATAGGTACAATTAAATATATATTTTCGCAGCAGTCTTGATCCTAAAAACACAGACTACCGGGAAATATATACTCTTAAAAAAAAAAAAAAAAAAAAACGCACAGCAGGTTTTTCATCAATTTTTTTTAATTTGAACGGGATCCTTGTTTCCACAATTCTTACTTGTTTTTAATGTCATGTAATGATAAAAGAAATTTATTATTTTTTTTAAATGTAGGGCCACTAATTGTGACTGGTCATAGTGAGTATACTCATTGCCGAAATTTGTTTTCGCTTGATTTTACCAAGACACGTGAGTTTAACAACTTCGCAAGCTTTTCCCATGAAACACCAATCTAAGGCCTTTAAAATCCCAGGGTTCTCGGTTTCAAAATCAGTTGCCCATGTAAACACTCAACGAACCAAGTGATGTCGCAACAACGCTATGTCGGTTACAAGCAGGTGAATACCAGACCAATGTAGACAAGCTGCTGAATGTTTCTCAGAGTACCATTTCTTGCCTTTGGGAAAGGTATCGTCAGCGAAGTTCAACGCGTGACCGCCCATTCTTATGCTAAACAAGAGTGACCCCACCTGCCCTGGATCGTCGTGTCCAGTTACGTTATTTGCGGACACGGTTCACAACAACGGCCTCTACTGCAGCCGCAATTCCTGGACGGCCTAGGATCTCAGACCAGACAGCCCATAGACGCCTACGTGAAACCGCATTACGAGCCAGACGGTTAGAGCTATTATTTTGAAATACTCCGACACCTTCAAATCCGTCTTCAATGGGTTCAGACACAGGATAACTGGATATGGCCACAGCAACGCCGGAGAACAGTTTGGTTCCGTGACGAGTCGCGGTTCCGGTTGCAATGAGGCGATGATAGAGCGAGGGTATATCGACGACGAAATGTCATTTATTCATGCCCATTTCTTTTTTTTTGAAGGGTATATTAATTTTGTTTCTAAATAAATTGTATCTAAGCGTCGCTAGCGTGTGAGAATTCTCATAGAAAGTTACCAATGCCACTGATTTAGTGATTGAAATTTAAAAGAAAAAAAATACATAATTATTCCTGCCCATTATAAATATATTATTCTTTAAGATACAATATTTCTTTTTAGTATAACGGATGTCCTAACTATATTCAAGGGAACATATCTTTAAAAGATAACCAATTTCCTCTGATATTAATTAATGAAGTATTAACTTTCATAACAATTGGATGTACAGTGATGTAGGGGGTTTTGTTATTCTTGTTGTTAAATGGGTTCGTATCTTTTAGGTTGATTGGGATAAACAGGTAATGATATGGGGCTTTCCTGTTTCCGTTCACATATTTAATTTCCTCTTAAAGGACAATATTGGTGTCAGTCATTATTACATATGTGATAGAACTGGTTAAATACATTCCAAATATAATTTTAACACAGAGATCATTGCTACGGGAGACGTGTAACGAGTACGTGAAGAAACGGGAAGTGACGTCAAACATGACAAACACGAGTTGTCCTTCTATATAACTGACTGAAGTAACGAGCGGTAAGAGACAAACGATCGAATTTCATTTCACTGATAATTCCGTTGAAGTTGAAAAGTTATTATATGGAACGGTGAGAGGATATCTCACAATTCAAAAATAGAATTGACTGTCACTAGATAAGGGACACGAGAAAAAGTAGAAAAATCCCGTGCATTCCCCCGTTTTTATTCATTCTGTTCTTAATAAAAACATGGTAATGCACGGACCTTTTCTAATTTGTTCGTTATCTTTTATCTACTGACAGCCAATTCTTTTTTTGAATTGTCAGATATCAGATATATAACTACTTTTCATCTTCAACGGAATTATCAGTGAAATGAAATTCGATCGTTTATCTGTTACCGCTCGTTACTTCAGTCAGTTATATAGAAGGACAACTCATGTTTGTCATGTTTGATGTCACTTCCCGTTTCTTCACGTGCTTGTTACACAACTCCCGTAGCAATGATCTCTGTGTTAAAATTATATTTGGGATGTATTTAACGAGCTTTATCACATATTTTATATTGACTGACACCAATATTGTCCTTTGAGAGAGTAGTCGTCAACACAGTAGTCGCACTGTATCGGCCTTTCCGCAACTAAATCTGCCTCTTGCAGGACTTTCTTTGGGCCTGAAATGTTCTATAGACTATAGTATTATTATTAAACATATTAACATGACAAGACCAAAATCCGCTCTCGGTGCCCCCAAATAGATCCGATTTTAAGTAGATGGTGAAGCTATGCTAAGACTTGAACAATCAGTGCACACATCTTGTCAAACCTGCACTTTGAATGAAATTTTCAATATTTTCATTTTGCATAATCTATTTTTGAACTATTAAATCTTACATAATGCTTCTTTAAATCCCCGACTTCCTCTTTAAAAAAAAATATTCAACACTTTGGATTTGTGTAGTTATACTTAATGGACTTCTTGTGGTGCCAAAATTCGAGGCATGTCATAGTTGGAAATATAGATATGTGCCATAAAATGTAATTACAAAGTAACTGAAATGTAATTGACCATTACAGAATTTATGGAATGTAATTAATTACATTTTCATTACTCATTACTTTTGAAATATTCCATTATTAATTACATAACCATGTAATGATTGCATTCCATTCACATTACACCAGCCCTGTTATCTACCGTTGTTTTTTTGATTTTGTTTAAAATAATCAATCTGGATTAAGGCGTGGCACAAAAGTCATCGTTACTTTAAAACATCGACTCGCTACGGCCCACTGTGGTCTTTAGCTACCACTACTACATCCTCGGTATCCGCAGTGATGACGTTCCGTTCTACTCACTAACCCGCCTGATTTTCACAAAATAAATTTTAATTATATGCCATTGATGATTTCATTGGCCGCATACGAACCAATCAAAAAACAGTTTAAATACCAGTCTTAGCGTCAATTGTTTACGTTCACCGCGATACAGCACCTTGTACGCTCGGTTATGAGAATGTTTGCAAGAAATTTAATATGCTGAAGTCCAGCCATGAAACTATTCAATTGTTTTTTTTCAGACAACTAGTATCATTATGTATAGCATTCGTTGTAAAACTAATTCGGAAAGATTTTGCTTTAACAGTTTTTACGTATTTTTGAAACAGGTTCCGAAGCGTTTTGGTTCTGTTATGCAAGTTCATTTTTGACGTTTCAAAGTAAAAGTTCGGTGCTAAGACCACCTAAAGATAAATTTTAAATGTTCCTATTATTAATTAGAACAGGTTTCGCTTTAGATTTTATATTTTACGCTGACATTTATTACTTTAAATCTTCTAAGTGCTAAAACGGAAAATGTGACCTTTTGACCTCGGGGATCACAAAGAACAAAAGTGAATTTAGCAAGTTTACATTTTTATTGAAAGTGTGATTACTTTCAATCATTTTCAGCTTATTTTCATGATACAAGAATGACCGCGCATTCACTTTCAGTGCAAATGAACCCATTTGACCTTTGACCCCGAATATCTCGAAAACGCCCCAACGGCGGACTGATTACGACTCGGCATCGTATTTTACGCAAAAGTTGGATCTGGTTTTGTGCCCATTTGATGGACCCCCCCCCCCCCCCGCTGAGCCTCGAGACTATAAGGTTTTGATTGGTCGATAAAACTTGGAACAATTATCAAGGGCGGATAATTTGATTATGTGTCTCCTTAGGTTAGTGGAGTAGAACAGACCGATATCACTGGAGCCCACTGGGGATTTACGTCGACTGTCACATTAAGTCTGATCGTATCTCACATATCTATATCACCGCTGTAAGAACCAGGGACCAGCTAATTACAGCTTTCCGTTGGCTCACCCTGCGAACCGCCAATCTTTGATTCATAACCAAATTATCAGAAATTCTACACTCTCGTGGTGACAAATAAGAATTATTACAAACCAAATAATATTTTATAGTTATTAATTACCGTAGTTATATCGTTAATTTGTCGACCTCTTTTGATAATGTTTGTCATTTAAGTGTACGAGAATGAAAGAAAGGCCCCATGAACACTAATTTGGTCACATACTGAGATCTGTTAAATATTCTTATTTTCCATTTCAAATATGTTTTACTTCAGTGATGTTAGATGTAGTATGCAGCCAATGTCCACACGATGCTATAGAACAGATGCAAGCGTGTACTGGAAGACAAGGCAATATGACTGTTGGCAAAGATTTACAAAAAGTAGAGCGGTTTTGCAAGTAAGTTAAATTGAAATAGCATGTGTTATGTTGGGTTGGCATAACATAAACACACCGCCAATCTTTTGTTATACCTATAAATAAACGTCATGGTACTTTCCGAACTACTGTCTGAACCATCGTAAATTTTAACCCCCGGTTAAATAAAATCCATTGTACAACTAAATATCCCAGCGAATAAAAAAACTCCTCAAAAACTTGGACATCGAAAAATACAAAAATTACGTCACTTCGTATAAGCAAGGCTTGTCTATCGTAACAGTGTTTGGCTCTTTCACGACAATTCAAATTTTGTGTATGAATAAGCTATTGCTCTCGGGGCCCAGTAATGATTTTGGGCGTTTACAAACATAAATACGCCCGTAGTCCGTTATTTTGTTTCCGTCTTGTATTAATTATTTGGTAAGAGAGTTGGATAGATCTCCATTTTGAAATCCACAGAGAATGGAATTTTCTGATAGTATTTCGTAGATCGCGATCATGCCTCATTCAATCAATGCTTTGAATTCTATGGCCGTAAAAGATACCATGCCATATGAGTTATTGTATGCTACACAGATGCAGTGAAAATGGTTAAATTTAGCGCGAAACTTGCACGAGTTTTTCTCATGATCTGCATAATTAAAACACAAGACCCAATAATACACGCAATCCGCGATACTTCTTTTGACAAGTGATATTGTTTTTTAAATACATTTTTATAAAGACGATAAACGATGTTTAGACATCCCGAACTGTTCTTGTAAACAATGTTTCGATTTCAGTATCTGTCGAATAGACCAAAAAAGGTAATTTAATCAGGAATATTATTGACGTGAACAGTCGGAACGTGAATTAAAATGTAAGTTATTGAGAAGCGGTGGCTTTGTTTCATAGTTTTTGTGGTAATCATAAAACTTTGAAAATGGACTAATAACCACAGAGCATTGGGATTAGAACCCGCGTTATGAAATAATATCCATTAAAATTATGAAATAAAGTGTGTTTATTTATAAATGTTAGCCACAGAGTTGCATATAATTGACAGGGATGTAGGGACTAATATAATTTGATAAAATGTATATAATACACAGTGTATTTACAATTATGGGTCGATGATTATGTGAAAGCAATATTTACGAGTATTCGTGTAATCAGTGACATATTCATTGTGAATAAAATTTAGTACACTGACAATCAACTGTTTCCAAATTAATTTTATTGTCTTCAGTTGCCATTTTTGTTACTCAAACGATCGGAAAGGTCGCACGTTTTTGTGATTGCAACACACGTGATTGTCAAAATTTGTCAACCATTGCCCCCTTCAACATATTAAGATGGGTTAGCTCATCACGTGACATGTACAATGTTGAGATGAACTTGGTCGAAAATACAAGCAAAAACATTGACTTTTCAAGAGAGAACTTTTTTTGCGTTGGGATATTCAATTGTGCAATAGATTTTATTCAACCGGGGGTGATTTCAAACACACAGGCAAGTTTTTAATAACAATTATTCAGTAAATTGTTCACAATCGACGAAATCCGTTTAAAATTTACCACGGTTCAGACAGTAGCCGTAATCAATGTCGGTACTTTTTATTGTACGCCGATATTGAAATGTGGTCGTGTATTACCGTCGCTCCCGTCCATCCATCCGTCGGTCCGGCGTCCATAATCGCTTGTGGACGCTCTAGGGACCAAAGTTAATATCCGATTGACTAATGTCATGAGACGAAGATTCCTATTGATTTTCAACGATGTCTGATTATTACTCCCCTTGATCATTTTGTAATATCTTGCGGATGCTCTAGAGGCTAAGTTAATATCCGAATGACTTTAAATTTAGTCAAATTTTACGGTTATAAATACTGCCAGAATTATGGCCTTTGATCATTTTCAAAAATCTTGTTAATATCTGTTTGTTTCCAGAGTTATGCCCTTGATATAAAATGTTTTGTATATTAAACGTTAGTGCAGGACAGAACTATTAGACACCAAACAAATTATAATGATTTCTGGTTAATGGGTTGTTATCCAGAATCAGATTTTAGTGTCTTATAAATGTTTCGAATTTTGGAAAAAGAAAAAATATACAACTCTTGTTGACTATCTGGACGACTTGGCTGTTGTTAGCGTTCGTTTCATTGCCTGGCAACCTATCTTTTACAGATTTATTGTCATGTCCACTGAACTTTGTAACGGTAGATTTCACCACGACATCACATAGCCCGTCAGATTCTTGGAATTACAACTAAACAAAACTTTCTATTATTATGTCACGTTCATTGCTTGCTTCGACTAGACTGAATATTCGTCTGGTTGAATATAAAAACACAATTGTATGCATTTCTGTCTGTTCGGGTATGGGAAAAGTTATAATCCAACAATTGACGCATCTGTACTTTTCAATACAAGGTGAAACTTACATCCCCTCTTTACCAATTTCTTAAAAGGTACGAAAATCTCGCTGTAACCTTTGACACTACATTTAGTGTCATTTTGTCAATTATATTTGCTGTAGTCGAAGCAAAGACAACATTATAGCTGGAATAAAAGACTATATATGTAGTATTAAACAGGTCACAATTCTATGGAATAGAATTACAACTTATTACTGAGCGACGTTTCGACTAGGCTACCTAGGGAAGAGACTCTGAAGAGTCCAAGCAAGCACATAGACAGTTTAGACAACCCACTGGAGAACTCCCTATCAACCGACAACATCATTATACAACATGTTCTATTTCTCCTGGGGTGACGACTTTAACGAACAGATCAATGGATTACCCATGGGAAGCCCACTCTCACCCCTAATTTCAGAAATAGTTTTAACTGATTTGGAAGAGAGGGCACTTCAAACATCCACCATGACTCCAACTTGATTTTATAGACGAGTGGATGATACTTTTGTTATTATCAAACAAGATGATCCAGAAACGTTGGTACAACACCTCAATAGGCAACACCCACGTATCAAATTCACAATGGAAACAGAAAATAATAATCAACTACCCTTCCTCGTTGTCTGTGTATCCAAAACCAACACCTCAATCCGTACCAGTGTCTACAGGAAACCAACCCACACCGATCAATATATTCACTTCAAATCCAATCATCCGAATAGCGTCAAATCGGCCACAATTCAAGCTCCGGTAAACCGTGCAAAAAAGACATGTAATCCTGAGAGCCTGCCTAACGAAATTGACCATCTCAAACATGTCTTCACAACGGCTATCCAGAGAAGTTTGTCCAGTGAAGTTTGTCCAGTGTTAAAGCATAATGCAAAAATATAAGCAACAAGAGAGCGAGCCGATTGCATGAAGCCATTAAAATACGATGACACGATTATCTCCCAAAACTTAGACAGCCATAATTTAGACAGCCATAACTTAGACAATGGAGTAGGTGATTAATTAACACAACACCCATAGCTGCAATGGAACAGTCATAATCAGTGTTGTAATTGACCCATAGGGAGATTAAGTTTGTTGGGCTGAGATGTTTTGATTTGAAAATGCATGTCTTTGATGCAAGTTTGATTATCAAAACAATAAATATATCTAACTTTGATCCAAGGGTGATTATTAAACATTTAAGTATGTGTAAGCAGCTGAGATGTTTTGATTTTAAAATGTCTACCTTTGATGCAAGTGTGGTTATTGAAGTATGTGTAAGCAGCTGAGATGTTTTGATTTTAAAATGTCTACCTTTGATGCAAGTGTGGTTATTGAACAGTAAAGGATGTGTAAGCAGCTGAAATGTTATTGAACAGTAAAGGATGTGTAAGCAGCTGAAATGTTTTGATTTCAAAACATAACTTCCTTCGAACTTTAAACACAGCTGCAACAAGGTGACAAGACCAAGATTGAGTATCTGGACGCAGTCGGCCATTTGATCCATCTCGGATAGACACTTTGTTAACATTTGAATTGAAGATTTGTGAACATAGAGTATTAAAATTATTATTATTTATATAAGTAAAAACTTGATCAGTAAAGAAATGGTACTATATTTGTTGTTTTATACTTGTTAATAAATCTGCTTTAACATACCAATGTTACAATTTGTTGTTGTTTTGAACTGGCTGTCTAAGTTTTGGTATTTTTTCTAGATTTTCTTGGACTATTCCATTATCAAATATAGGTAACAGGTTGAGGATTAGTTGTGCACTTGACCGTGAATGTTGTTGTTTTAAGCTGTCTTAAGTTTTGGCAGGTTACCGAAGACACAAACCAACGATGAACAGGGATCAAGGATTGTTCCTCCCCAGGGCGTATTACATAATCATAGGCTAAGCATAATAAATTCTATGCAATCAATATTTAATACTTACCAATATTCTTATCACTATTCAAGATTAATAATCTAAATTTGTAATCATTTCAATAATCCTTCTAAAATTCATAATTAATAATTTTGCTTTTCAGGGGGCTGACAAGGACAGCTGTCTAGTCGTTCGGATGGGACGAAAAAACCGAGGTCAAGTGTACATATTGGCGTGCACGTAAAAGATCCCTTGGCAGTTGGAATTCAATATAAGAGTAGGCCGTAGCGCCGACCCTGGCAAAATTTCCCTCATAGCACACTGTATGGCGTATGCCCGTCTTCATTAGCCCAGTTTAGGAGCAGAACAGTAGGACGTTAAACCCCATTTCATTTCATTTCATGCTTTTCAGGGCTGCTGTTATTGAAATTCACTGCACTAAAAAGTTCAAATCCTGCTTTTCCAAATCACTATAGCATCCAGCGTAAATACTACTCACTAATTTAAATAGTCGACCTTCAGGGGACCATTGTTGATTTGTGTTGTCTTTGTTCTAAGGGAATCACATCAACATGCACATGTCAACATCAAATTTCATCCTTTAGGGTGTTGTCATTATTAAAATCTGATCAAATCATTGTAAATACTCCACAACAAGCTATCTATTAATAATTTGTGTTAATTTCAGGTAAAGGGGTCGCTGATATCATTAATCAATCTATTTTCTTTCAGCGTTTGTGATTATTAAAACCTGATAAATCATTGTATATACTCCGCAACAAGTTATCCATTAATCAATTTGTGTTAATTTCAGCCAAAGTGGTCTACATGCCGTAATAAAATGTTGTTACTAGCATTAAACTTTTATAATCCCTAACTAAGTTAGGTCTTCTTTGGGTAGATGTGATTAAAAAGTATCTCTGGTTGGTCAGCATTAACCAAGTATTGTCGTGTACATATATATATTGTCTTGTTATATTTTCATATTTGATCATTGCTTGATAATGACCAGGGAAGCCTAATAAGCACAGGGGCGTAAATGTGTGTGTGGGTGTGTGTGGGTACACCCCCCCCCCCCCCAGAAAAAAAATAGTCTGTCGCAAAATAAGAGCAGTCGGTATCACAATAAGTGCTCACGTCACGCTACTCATGCAAAACTTTAGTATAAAATAACCTTGTCAACTTAATGTGTTTCACTCTTATTCTGTCGTGAGTATGTAGGTCTAAAAACAAAATTTCCCCCAGGGAGAAAAATAGTCGGCCTCAAAATAAGTGCAGTCACTGCAGTCGGTCTTAAAATTATGCATCGCCGTCTTAATGAATTAATGAGGTAAACAAATAATGCCAGAATAGATCCCAAATACTAGTCGGTCGCAAAATCAGTGCAGTCGGTCGTAAGATATGAGCAGTCGGTATCAAAATAAGTGCTCGCTGCACACGTTACTCTACTCACGCAAAACTTTAGTATAAAATAACCTTGTCGACTTATCATGTTTGAAAAAAATGTTTTTCACCCCATGGCAAAAAAAAAGTCGGTCTAAAAAAAAGTGCTCACCGCAGTCGGTCTCCGACTAAATGTATTAATGGGGTGTTTTCTGACCATCAGAATTCTGCAAAATCTCTCCCAAAGTCCAGGGCATTTCAGAAACCAAGTAAGCGCCCCATTGAGGTAAAGTTCCCTCAGGCCCAGTCCTCAAAAATTAAAAGCTCAGTTACATATCGGCGCTCAATTCCATTATGCCATCATTCTTCAACTCCTTCTCTGTCTTATACTATCTCATCACTATCATATTCACAGTTACAGTGAATCGCCCAGTTAATAGTACCACTAGTGAGTGAGTCGTTGGTCAAAAGACTGTAGAATTGTTAGTTCTACTCTCACAAAACAGGCGACATTGACAGATAGGCCTCAAGATTCTGTCCCATTTCTTATCCTCTCGTTAACGAGAATTTGGATCCATTTGCCATGACATTGACTAAAATTGTCAGGCCCAGTCCCAAAAATTAAAAGCTCGGTTACACATCTGAAATTTGTTCACGCCTGTGGCGCTCGATTCTATTATAACATCATTCTTCTACTCCTCTGTTGCCTTATACTGGGGTGTTCGATCCCTGCATTGGCCGAAAAAGTTCATCCCGATTTTCTGACGTGGTTCCCCCTTGTCAGTGATGCAGGACGGAGGGCCTGACAAGGACAGCTGTCTAGTCATTCGGATGAGACGAAAAACCGAGGTCCCGTATACACATTGGAGTGCACGTAAAAGATCCCTTGACAGTTGGAATTCGATATAAGAGTAGGCCGTAGTGCCGCTGTCCGGGCAAAATTTCCCTCATAGCACACTGTATGGCGTATGCCCGTCTTCATTAGCCCAGTTCGGAGCAAAACAGTAGGACGTTAAACCCCATTTCATTTCATTTCATTTCATGCCTTATACTGTCTCAGCACTATCATATTCACGGATATACTGAACTGCCTAGTAATGTTAGTAGTACCACTGGCACTGGTGTGTGGGTCGTGGGGCGTCAGACTATACAAAAGTTCTGTCAACTCTTGCAAAACAGGCGGAATTGACAGGGGCAGATCTCGAGATTTTGTCTAATTGACTCACATTTCTGGTTCTCTCGTCCACAAGAATTTCTCCCAGCAATGACCTCAAATGCCAAGATATTGACTCAATTTTTCAAAATTGGTACTAGGGGTATGGGCATCAGTCGGTCGCATTTTGGCTAAACACCCCCCCCCCTCCCAAACAAAATCGTTATGTACGCCCCTGAATAAACAGTAATTGTATTAGAATTGTGACCTGTTTTTTTCCAGTTCAACAATTAAATTCCGTTGCAACAATTTATATGTAGTATTGTCCAAAAGGCAGTTTAGGGGCTTGAGCACATGGTCCAGTTATGCTAAAGGGTACATGTGAAGAATGTGTGCAGAAGAATCCTACATTAGGGTGTTGTTTGTTTTAAGTCCGGTTGGAGATTAGCTAGAACAGTAGTAGTTTGGACATTTCAAGGCTGCATTTGGCTAGGTTGCGTTTCCAAAGTCATTATACCAAATTGAGAGATGTGGACAGGCGGTTGACATATTATAATCTAACTATAAAAACAAACTAGAAGGCAAAGAACAGACTTCAGAAAATAATGTTGATTTTTTTTTGTGACTTATTATTGACAAGATTTATTTAATTAAACCAAACTATGTCACCAACCTATCATAATTGGGTCTATTTTACAGTACAGATACTAAATTACCTCATTTTCAGGAACCTAATGGAAGTACCCATCTGTCTAGAAACTATACTTAATAAATGTCAGGAACATTTGGATGCCCAACACGCAGACAGTCTCAAACAAACTACTTACCAATGGAGAGATAAATTAGACAAGATTTGTGAGTTTCGACTTATTTTTCTTTTTTCATGACATCTTAATGTTGCAATAGCTAACATATTTTTGTATAGCAACTCATTGCGATTGTTAGCAGACGTCAGAACAACTTTCCGGTTGTGATACTGATATTACAAGACATTGTGACACATTAAAGCTGAACTCTATATTTAACTTTAAATACAGGCAAAATATAAACTAGCATATCATCATTCTTTTTGATTTTTAACTTTACTTTTTATACGCCCACATGGAAATGTGGTCGTACATGTATATTGCCGTCGTCCTATCCGTATGGCGTCCACAAGTTCTTGTGAACGCTCTACAGACTATTTTTATCATCTGATTGATTTGAAATAAATATACGTTGTTTATATCAGTTAGCTTAAGAATCCTATTTAATTTCAATAATTTCCGTTATATTCTTCTAGAGTTATGGCCCTTGTTTTACTTTGTTGAACCTTGTGAACACCCTAACCACAAAAGTAATTTTCCGATCTGTAAGCAATTTATATGCATTATTTGGATTAGTAAATCGAAGAACCCTTTTGAAATTCAGCAATTTCCGTTAATTACGTCTGGAGTTATAGCCCTGGTTTCACCTTGTGAACACCCTATCGACTATAGTTATCATCCAATCTGTATGAAATTTATATGCGTCATTTCCATAAATTACTTCTAGAGTTATGACCCTTGTTTTACTTTGTTGAACCCTGTGAATGTTCGAATGGAAAAAAGTTACCAACCAATCTGTATGAAATTTATATGCATTATTTTAATTAGTAAAACGTTAAAGCCTGTCGAATTTGAGCAATTTTTGTACATTTGTTCCAAAGTTAAGTTCTTGATTTAGTTTGCAGAACCTCGTGAACCCTCAAACAACAAAACTTTTAATCTTATCGTACTGAAATTGTCTTGTAAATACTCCCAATTACCCACAAAAGATTAAATATGCGACAATCCTTGTCGACCACTCGGACTATTTAGCGGCTGTAGGCGTATGCTTCATTTACTGGCATCCTATCTTTCTTAGTAGATTTGCACAATCAATTTGATTTTTTTCATATATTTAAATCTAATAGTTTAACATAGTTTTGCGCGCAATTTTTAGGGCCTTGAAATTTCCGAATACCAATGAACTACACATTTATTGCTGGAATGTATGAGTTATGCGATCGTTCTGGGTATAAATGGGAAGTTGCATTCGGTTTTCTAGGAAAGATACTTGATTGAATCATTTATTCACGTCAGCAATCCATGCGTTATTGTGACTTCTTTTGATTAATGACATCCTAGTCAACTCTAGAAAATATTTCATCATCTTACAATAACTGTCAACCAATTTTTAAAATTTTGTTTTTAGTCTTATTTATGTTTCAGGTAGTAATATTTCAGCAAATGGAGCAACGATATATAATACAAATTTTCAATTAGTCTTTGTGATTCTGATATTTATAAAAAGTATATTATGGATTGGCAGAACTTGATTTGTAGAAAATGACAACGACAATCAAAACCAAATTGGTGCTTCTAAAGCGTAGGAGGTGAACATATTCATGGCGATTTGTTGAAAAAAGTGGCTTAATTATAGATAATACCTATTAAGGATCAAAACAATATGGAGATGATGAAAATTCTTCTATGGATTTATTTTCAGAAAAAATTGGAGTAATTTCGTTAAACTTGTTAACGATGGAGCATTATTGGGATACTTCTGTAGTTATAAAAAAAGAGAAAGTGTGCAAGTTCGCGTTTAAAGAGACCAGCGGATTTCGTTGTTGTTTTTGTACTCATCATCTCGCATATGGGCACACAAGATGAGCATTATTCTGTTTTACTTGCAGAGAACTAAACCATATCGTTTGTAATCTTCGTTAACAAGACTTGTGCTTAATGTTCTGCGAGTAAGAGTGTTCATATGTTTTATCTAAGTGAAGAGACTTGTGCTTTATTTTATTAAATTATTTCCTTCTTGTCGTTTGAGTGAGTTTATGGTTGACTTTGATATATCCCAAGTGTCTATATAACATATTACTGAGATCAATTCAAGAAAAAATCTTGTTAAACCGTTATTATGTTTTCTATACCAGAAAATTATATGGGCTAATTATCCAAATGAAAACCAAATGAGCATGGTGTAAATTATAAGGTTGGGATAACTTTCTTCCTTTTTATAACAAAACGAAGAAATAATACCCAAAAAGTGAATGGTGGCAGTTGATCGGTTAATGATTTCTTTGTAGATGTTGCACTTTACAGCAGTAACTCAAACTTGATATACTGGACATTTTTCTCATTATAGTATTCCCTTCTTCACGAAACTCATTGAAACCTTACATCGGTAACCGTCTAACTTAATTTATACACTGCTTTCGTTTATATATTTGTTCATCCTGTTTTCAAGAAAGCGAAATGTTATTAAATTATGTCTTTAGGTCCTCTCGTCATACTCTTGATACGTGTTATTTTACTTCTAGAAATTTGATCTGCCTTTGTAACGATTTGCAATATTTTATTAGGCTGCAAAGCTCGCCATGCTTATTTTTTTTATACGCCCATATTTTCTTGTGGACGTATATTGGTGTCGCCCCTGTTCGTCCGGACATTCGTCCGTCCTCAGTTTGGTTGTGGACACTCTACAGGCAAAAATTCATTGTTATCCGATTTTGACGAAATTTGAAATATGGGTTTATCTCCAAAAGATCTCACTCAGTTCCTTTCGATATTGGTATTTATCGGACCGTAGGTTCATCGATTAAGGCTTAGATTGCACGAAAAATCACGTTTTTAGCTTGTTGACACTCTAGAGCTTACAGTTTTTATCCGATTTGGTTGAAACTTGAAATGTATGTTTGTAACCCAAAGATCTAGATTCTTGTCGATATTCGCACATATCGCACCGTCACTTCGTGGATTATGGCCCCCGATTTTACTAAAAATTCGAATGTTAGCTTGTGGTCCCTCTAGATGTCACACTCTATCCGATTTTTAAAAATAAAACGTTCAAATACAACACCGTTACACCATAACGGTGATTGAGTTCGAATAGTTAAAATCGGACCGAAAATGGCCGCTCCTTGTACACAAAAAGTGTAAAAGTATGTAATTCCAAGGTTGTGGACCCTCTAGAGGTCACACATTTTATCCAATTTTGATGATATTCGCGCATATCAGGCTGTAACATCCTGGATTTTGGCCCCTGATTGTACGAAAAATCACGTTTTGTGCTAGTGGACCCACTAGAGGTCAGCATTTCTGTCAGCTTTTTATAAGCGTTTAAATATATCACCGTTATATCATAATGAGTTCGAATTTCGTGAAAATCAGAACGAAACTGCCCAACAAAATGGCCGCTCCTTGTACGCAAATAGTGTCAAAGTGTGTAATAACACTGTTATAATACTAGAGCACTTATTATGGATACAATCACTTGGTTTATTATACTGCAACGTTTCAACAAGATTTCACAAGTCGTTTGTACTTTAGGTATTTGCTTGAAAACGACTTATGAAATCTTGTTGGAACGTTGCAGTATAATAAACCAAGTGATTATATTCATAATACGTGTTCTATTATTATATAATAAATCAATTGCTAAAGTCACCTGGATTATGGCCCCTTATTGTATAAAAATCGCATTTTATTAAGCTCGTTCTCTGTCCATCTCTTGCTTGGCAACCGCTGGTTTATATTCGTAGTTTATTGATCATCGCTGAACGATTGCGTTAATGGTGTATATTAAAAGACGGTGTACAAGAATCAATACTTGATATATCAATTGGGCGTTGTCGGTTTCTTAAATAGCCAATTTTTGTCGTCCATGAAGCGCCTATTTCATTATCTATCAGTGTGTATACAACACTGTTCCGATTGGGGTTTTTTATCTCTGCATTAGTGTCTTTTTTGTCACAGACAAATCATTATCGGAAAATGTTCTTTTATATCGCAGATGTATCACTGCTCAGTACTTTCAAAACAATGTTCGAGTAATAGCTCGTCTATAGATTGTATACATTAATAAATAAATGTATCTGTATGCCGTTAATTTAAAAAGGGTGTGTTGTATCCAAGGTTATCGGTTTGTAATCAAGTCTGCATCATTATACAGACAACCGCGACATTTGTTTTGGTTTATGTATCTGATCATCACTCACTACATAAATAAAAATCTTCATATCGCACGTATAATTTTGTGACATGAAAAAAATAAATTGATCAGTCGTTCGTTATTGTAGAAAAATCAACGATTATCATTTAAAGGTTTAATGGAGTGAATGTTATATTTCGGCATTAGGTAAAAACTTGTACTAACCTTGTTTAAATCTCTTTCGTCGTTTATTATTAAATCTATTCCTAGAAAGCTAAATGTGAAAAGTTGTAAATTTGATCAACGCTTGGCTTTCAGGTCACGCAGTAATAAAGAACATTAAAGGGGAAATGAAAATGCTTGAAAGAATAATGTAATTTCTGGTTTTCACTCGGTTTGTGGTGAGTATAGTATCATTGGAAAATATGAAAAATGATCCTGAATGTAAGAGAAATCATGTCAAATTTGTGAAAATATTGTTTTAGGGCGAGAAGTTCATCTGTTGTATAGAAATAAATATCGTTTAAGTAAAAGCGAACATATATCACATTAATAAAAGATCGTGTCATTTTGCTGGGCCATGCCAAACAAGTTACACAACACGAAGACAGGACAAACGATACAATAGACTTTTTTTTTTTTTAAACAATATTTTTATTCAGGTTGTCTGAATGGGGTTTGGGAACAGGCATAGCCTATGCAAATAGACAATATAAAAGGGCAAACTCAGTATTATCCACAGCCTTCGACATTACAAACACGAATTATTGGTCCATCTCAATCAGGATAGATGTTGCTATCTTACCATGAAATTATGGGCTGCTGATAGTGATATGGAATATTTAAGATAATTTTAAAATCAGCCGCCGACGTCGTGTACACTTTGCTCTCGAGTGCCATTTTATTGAGACGCCTAGATGAACCGGGCAAAACAACAGTGTGTAAGTGAATGTCCAACCGTGCGTATTAAAGAATTTCGATACAAGTGGTAGCAAATGAATGTAATTCAATTTATATACATTCACAATACATTAATATGTGCCTTTTGACCCATCTTCTTTCATATTATGGATTAAGTTCCAAACAACAGGGATTTAGCGCCTTTAAAACTATATTACCAAAGCAGAATTAACAGTTGGGCGGAGAAGCTGCTGCTGTTCATCGATTTTGTCGATTGGACTTTATATTTTGACTGCTGGTTTATATCGATTGTGCTTGATTTTGAATTCACGAAACCATAAAATATGAATAGGTCGCTGGTATGTGAACGACATATCAGCAACGTTGTCCTGGTCTCAATGAACAACCTTCAGAAACATCTTTAGAATTCAAACTACGTCAAATTGATTCCTGCTATTTTAAAGGTATTACTAAGAATCATGTGTGTGATGTGTATCTTCAATTTTGAATAAAGTAAAAAAAATATTTGGATAACGAAGGCTAAAACAGTCGAACGGAGCCTCCCCACGTTGTTAGTTGAATATTGTATCAACATATTTCTAATCAATTGAAAATTCATTTGAAAATATAAAAGTACGATGCCAAAGACCGGGTAATGGGTTAGTTATTTCTGGAATCCAGCAAATTGCTTTCGAGTTTTTAAATATTGTTGATTTTAAGATGTTTTTATTTCTCCGTGATATGTATAGAGATGTTGTTCATGTGCAAAATTAAACAAAAAATTAAACAAACATTCTGGGATTTGCTAATATATTTTCGATAGTCTTAAAAACAGCAACGTAACTTCCTTTAAAGCTGTTATTTTATATTTATATGAATGATGTAGCTTTCAACACAAAGAATATGGCAGCTTTAAAAAACAACATTCTTAAAGATCTCAGTTCTTTAATTTGTCACATCCTTTTTGTCAAAAACTATATACATAGGTACATTGTAATATCTGAAGGCGCACATTAAGGGTAGATGGTTAGTTTATGATTTGATGTATATATCAGCATAAAGGCGTTAACGTGGTCGATTTTTTTAGAGAGATATAGTGGGAGAAATGGGGTTTAACGTCCACTCGACACAAACTCGGTCATTTCGGGGCAAACATATGGTACCACAGTATCTCAATAATTCTCTTGAACGTAGGGATCTTTTTAGAAAACCCACGAGATTGACAGGCGACACCACTCCTTTTCACGGCTAAGCTTGTGATGGAAAGCACGCCACTTGATTCAATACACTTGTAGGTTGTATCTATCAATAACACTAAACTCACTTTTATTCAAAGCATCAAATCCTTGAATCATTCACCGTGTTTTCAACTTTACGGCAGATTAATTAATGTTGGCCAAGCTTCTGTTTTTTGTTATATATACTATAATCAAATCATGCCGAGATTTTCATAATGGGTGAAGTCCCATGTCGATAAGTAATTATTTACGTACTTTCACTGTGAATAATAATCAAATAACCCTCGCTTTTACGTGTAGTGTTGTCTTTAAAACAGACCCATGGTTTTACATGATTAATTAAATTTGGAGAAAATGATCCAATATTAATGTAGTTATAATGAAGTAAGTTCATAAGTTGCTTTATTCCCCAGATTTTCAATTAATTGAATTAGTGGGCTTTGATATTGTTCTTTAATCAATCAAACCCAGTACGGTATATTTACGAACCCTTTTGGATGTCTTGTCGAGAATAGATAATCCATAACTTCCGATGCTTCCAATTCAGAAATAAATCATGCACTGAGCGAGAAAAGTTGATGCAAGTTCAAAATTCTGGCTTATAATAATTGGTCGAATGCGTTAGTTAGTTAAATGTCCTACTGACATTTTGGAGTGACGTTCATCGAATATGAAAAGTTTTTAAAATTGTACGCAGCGCATATCTAAAATGCACCATGTGAACAAAATTTACTAGCCTTAAGGAAATTAAATCATTTGTTGAGCCATATTATTTATGCAGGTGTGCAATTTAATTCGGAACGTCTACCAGAGTCATCTTAGCAATATTTTACGTCGACAGTTTCTAAGTCACATTGTCCCAGATATGAATTACGATTAGTGCCGATTGAATGTAAGAATGGCTGGACAGGTGTAGAAAAGACAAACACCACCTAGAAGTCTTAGTGCTAGAAACAGTGACTGTTTATCATTGATGGGTATTTAATATAATGTTTTTGCCTCGAATACACGTTTGATAACCAATCGGGTCTTCTCTGTATTTTTAGTGACCGCCAATGTCAATCGTTGAACTTTCATGTTGGGCTTTTTATCTGAACAGAAATATAAATATTTTTCCCTCTAAATAATGTACATGTCTCATTTGTATCAATTATTCTGGATGAAAGCCTCTTTATTTCATGCTTCGTGAAAAAAATATAATACTTTTGTGCTTTTTTTTTTTTTTTTTTTGCTTTTTTTTTTTAAAAAGAAAGTTAGATGTTTTTATTTTAAAAGTCATTGATGCATAAGCATAAAGACGATATCTTTCAGTAACACAAACCTGCAATGGGTACGATATATAAATTAATCACTTGATAACCTTGAAGCATGCTGTTTAGCAAATCAATTCAAAATTGTATGATTGGATTTCCTTTTTGGTGTGTCACACATAATAACTGTATTTTCCATCAATTTTCATAAAAAAGGTATTTCTTTGCGAGTAAAATAATAATAAAAAAAAACAAATACGCTATGGGGAAAGATAAACGACTAATCATTTTGTTTGTGAAGATTTATCAAAGCGATGTAATCATTTTCGCTGTTACATTCGACGGCATTAACGTATGATTATTATAGACTTCGGTTTCCACTAAAATTATAGAGCAGTTTATTTCAATGAATGCGACACACGAGATCATCATCTTAATAAATTAAATAGTCAATCTAACTTCTGTATTGTTTCATTTAGAGAAAAATTTTGAGGAACAATAATGACACGAAGCTGATGTAAATTCTTCGAACGAGGGGTGGTATAATTGATATAAGGACCAGCAAAAATGAAATGAAATTAGGTTTAACGCCTGTACTCTTTGTGTTCATGAAGATGGGTAGAAAGGCCATACACCGATGGGGTGTAGTGTTTAGTATCGCTCTATTAAAGGGAAATTAGGTAAGATTAGATAAAGAGCCGACAGTTCTCGCTATAATATACTCAGCCAAATTAAAAACTTGACACTCGGGATTTTTGGGACTAGATTTTTAATATTTGGTTTAAGGCAACTATTTTAGTGTTATGTTGTGCACAGACGGCCTTGACATCAACAGAAAGCAAGAATACGTCTCGCCGAAAGTCCTTAACATTGATAACGTTCGTGATGTCACTACCCCCCCAAAATGAAATTCACAGACTTGGAGAACAATCGGAATAAAGTGTTTAGTAACGGTTGTGGCCTCCTCTAGCGTCTCGTACTGCCACACAACGTCTTCTCATGGATCTCAGAACATTAATAAACACTACCCGAGGAAGACGTCGCCACTGCTCAGCAAGAGCATGTTGAAGGTCCTGCAACGTCAGTGGTGGATTCACTTGCTGACGAACACGTCGACCCAGTTCGTCCCAGATGTGTTCAATAGGATTAAGGTCGGGGCTAAGCGACGGCCAATCCAGGACTTGGACACCGGCATTTCTTAAAAAATTCTGGGTAGCAATTGCTGTATGGGGTCGAGCATTGTCTTGTTGAAACGTTAGTCCAGGCTCATGTCTCTGCATAAACGGAAGAAGAACAGGTTGCAAAATCTAATCCCTGTACTAGACAGCATTTAAGTTCCCTTGGACAACAACAAGAGGAGAACGCCCATGTGCACAAAAGAACCCCAAGCCATGACGCTGCCGCCACCAAATCGGTCAACTTCTCTGACGCATACTTGAGCGTAACGTTCACCTCGTCTGCGGTACACTCGGACCCTGCCATCGGCAAATCTCAAAGTGAATCGAGATTCGTCACTAAAGACAACCGAATTCCACTGTCTTTGAGTAAATCTTATGTGTCTTGTGGCCCACACAAGTCGGTTACGGCGATGAAGAGTTGTCAATATTGGTCCATTATAGGGCCTCCGAGCTCGAAGACCAGCAGCCTGCAAGCGATTTCGAATAGTTTGTGCAGTTACCCTTCCACCAAACATCTCTCTACTTGTGGAGGTTGCAGTGACAAATCTGTTTCTAAGATGACGTAATCGTATTGCTTGATCTTCCTGGAGTGACGTCACACGTGGCGCTCCCGCTCTTGGGCGGTCGGCAATAGTTCCAGTTTGAAGCACTTTCATTCTAAGATTAATTATTGTCTGGCGTGAACAATTAAAGGCTCTTGCAACAGTGACCACAGACTGACCAGCATAGAGCCTACCTATAGCACGTAGACGTTCTACATTTGAAAGGCGTGACATTTTCTAACAAAGATGAAAATAACAATTTTAATTTGTTTTTCCAGTTCAAGTTACGTGTGCGTGTTCAGTTTAAGCAAACTTGCATCGATTGACCTCACGAGTTTGTGTTTGCACGTGTTTTTCAGGTTTTTCATCTTTATATGCTCAAAAGTCACGTGATCCACGTGACTTTACAATTTTATGAAATTAAAGGCTTCTTACTAATTACTATCGTTAGAAACACTTTAAAATTTATTTAACTTACCAGAAAAAACAATTTGTTGAAATTCATCAGTGTCAAGTTTATAATTTGGCTGAGTATAGTTAAAAGAAAATAGATAATGAAAACAGAATATGCTGAAAATTTCAGTAACATTGCTCGCTTCACTCTCAACCGAGATATTAGCGATTCAATTTTAGGCTATCGTCTATACTGATGTTAGTACGATAATAAACAAAGTCTCGAATATCCACTTTACATTAAATTATCCGTCACAAACGGTATTCAAATCCACTGAATATCACGGGATACGGTGGCATCGAGAGTTGATTATGATGTGGATAAGTTAAAATGTCCAATTAATAATTAAGATAACATTTCAGGTCTAAAGAAATACCTGCAATAGGCAGATTTAGCTGTTCTTGCATAATGCATGTTTAATAATAAACTAATCCATTTCTGCTCCAATGTAATGTAATTGACAAATTATGCCCAACAATATTTACTGTTATATAACCGTTTTATTTAATTATGAGAGAGAGAGAGAGAGAGAGAAATGGGGTTTAACGTCCACTCGACACAAACTAGGTCATTTCGTGACTAACACACGGTTTAATTTTATTTCAATAATTCGCTTGCGCGTAGGGGTCTTTAGCAGTGGCCGGAGAAAACCCACGATGTTGGACAGGCGACCCTACTCCTTGCCACGTACAACCGGGGATTCGAAACCACGCCAGTTGACTCAATGACAGACTTTATGGTACAGCGCGCACGTGCTAACCATTCAGCCACCCAACCCCCCTTATTTAATTATGAGTAGCCGACATACAGAAAAATATGAATAATAATAATGGGCCCCGAACTAAATTCGAAGAAGTATGATGAAAGGGGTTGATTCTTTTCACTTCCTAAAGTCATCACACACAACACGGCTTCTTGCTGCAAACATTTGTTATGCATTGAAAAATAAATAGGCGTACTTTAAGATTTTTCTTTATCTAGTCATCAAGCTGTCACCATGTAAAATATCCCGCGGTTTCAAAGAGAGGCAAAATCCTCTCATCGAATTTGAAAAAAAGAAAAGAAAACGTTAAGAACTGTAGTCTCTGTAGCGTTTATAATTCCGGAACGAAAGGTAGCGTACCGCTGAACATCGATTGGTTTCGTCCTCTCATGATCCCAATACTTCACACCAAATTGGAAAAAATTCTTTAAAATCGTTAGCCTCTAAATTGTGTTCCAAACGGTTTTTGGTAAAGGGGGGGGGGGGGTAGCTCTAGAGCGGAAGGTCGCGGATGGATGGACTGAGAACGATGGTTTCATGCTCTCATGTTCATTATTAGTCAGGGGATCACGTGGCTAAGTGGGTAAGACGCTGGCTCGCTAGCCTGGAGGTTGGGTGCTCGATCCTTGCATTGGCCGAGAAAGTTCATCCAGATTTTCCGGCGTGGTTTCTCCTTGTCGGTAATGCAGGACGGACAACCTGACAAGGACAGCTGTCTAGTCGTTCGGATGGGACGAAAAGCCGAGGTCCCGTGTACATAGTGGCATGCACGTAAAAAATCCCTTGGCAGTTGGAATTCGATATAAGAGTAGGCCGTAGCGCCGCTGCCCGGGCAAAATTTCCCTCATAGCACACTGTATGGCGTATGCCCGTCTTCATTAGCCCAATTTCGGAGCAGAACAGTAGAACGTTAAACCCCATTTCATTTCATTTTTTTTTTCATTATTAGTCCAGTCTATATGGAAAGTACGGTTTGAAATTTCACATGCTCATCGGCTTTATCCGGCGTGGTTCCCCCTTGTCAGTGTTTACGTAAAATAACCCTTGACATTTGGAATTCGAAATAAGAGTAAGCCGTAGCGCCGCTGTTCAGGCAAAACTTTCCTCATAGCACACTGTATGGCCTTTCTACCCATCTTCATGAACACAAAGAGTACAGGCGGTAAACCTAATTTCATTTCATTCCTGCTGGTCCTTATATCAATTATACCACCCCTCAATCGAAGAATTCACATCACCTTCGTGTCATTATTGTTCCTCAAAAAAATTCTCTAAATCTAGACTAAATTAATGTTAATACAAAAGTCTAAACAAAATAATATAATGATGATGCAGCTGGGGAGAATTATTTTGTTAAGGTATGATTGGGTGAAGTGGACAACAATACAAACGATTACTAGAATGTTATTTATTCATTTTAAACTTTAATCCAGTCACGGTCGCGTATGTGTATCAATTACATGTGGTCACCTGAGCTTCATGAATGCATCGATTGGTTGCTACGTCAAAAGCTGTTCCAGATGGACACATTAATATAATGGAAAATCCCCACATGCATTGGACATACCGACGACAGTCGTTTGGGTGGGCAAACGTACTTGAAAAAAACGATGGACAGATTTGCACACAATTCCTCGTTTCCTCATTCCAGCGTTGTTTGTACGCGCAATCTGAAAGTACAGCACGACCTCCCTGACATACGAAATACTTGGTGAAATCTTGTTCAGAGGCGAAAGTATATCCATCAACGTCACAAAGACCTGTAAATAGAAGAATAAGATGTATTGGTCACAGGTACATGCAGTGCTAGACTATTAAAGCTAAATTATATCTTATTTCCATCAACATCTATAAACTTAAAATTAACAAACATTCTGAGAGTATTGCTGAAACAACACATGTACCTAGCAATAGGCTGACATTTCGAATATTTTTTTATGAATAAATAATTCAGATACATATAAATTCTGTAAAACTGAATTTTTTACTAAATCGGTATGTGACTCTGTATATAAAATAATGTATCAAACCTCAGTCAAAATAGCACAGGCACTTGAGGGGATTAAAATAAAACTTCTTGCTACTTCTTACTACTGCTTGACTATATATTATAGTATATAATGAAAACAAAGATGGCGGCTGAAATACCTTTTACATACTATAATATATAGTCAAGCAGTAGTAAGAAGTTTTATTTTAATCCCTTCAAGTGCCTGTGGTCAATAGCTCTACCTCAAGTTTCCATATACAAAAGTAGGGAAACGATTTTACCACGATCTGTAATTGATCAAAAATCTTAAAAGTTAAATTTAAAAAACAAATGGCAGACAGACAGGCTGATAGATAATCTATAGTCCTCCAGGAGAGTAATAAAGAAGTACTTCTTGATAAGGGACAAGAAACAATAATACTGTAAACAAAGAAAGGTCCAATTTTAGTAAGGTTGATGTAGTGACACTTCAGATCTTATATTGACCTTTCAAATGGTGGCAGCATGTCATTAAATCTAATACTACAACGGTATTTTAAAAAAGAAATAAATCAGATGATTTAACTGTCAATATAAATACAAATCTACTACGTGTACCTGCCACCGTAACACAAATGAATCCAGTGAAAAGTGACTTGTAACGTGTTCACTAATACAAATTAGTCTGACCATCCTGGTTGTATTTTAAAACAAATCAAACACTTTTGTTTTGTCGATCCGTGACTATCGAAGAAACGTGATATTTTATTCTTCATGCAGTTCGAAGGCTTAACAAATCTAATTTTTTTTTTGCATAACAAATAATTTATTACACCGGCTTTATGGATATAAATGCAACACGTCTAACATTTGTTTTGTCTTACTAATATTTTTTTTTTAAAAAAATACATATTTATTCATAGTCTAACATTTTTAGCCTAACAAATAATTTATAACACCGGCTTTATGGATATCAATGCAACACATCTAACATTTGTTTTGTCTTACTAATATTACTAACATAGAGAAGCCATAAATATTTATTTATTGTTAATTTATGGAAGAAGTAAACTAATAAAATTATTCATATTAGTATTTGCACTATATACATGATATGTGCAAACCATAATCAACAATATGTCATTCATTCAGAATCTTTGAGAGAGGAAGAAAAGTTATGAACTACAGAAAACATTTCTCGGGTTTGTAGTTTTTGAAATATGAATAATGGAAATTAAGTCTTCAATCTCTGTAGGCGTTAGTATTAGGTGACAAATTGAATCAGGAGTTTGTTTACGATCAGGAAGTCGTGTATTTGTCTAGTCAGTCAAGCGGATGTGATTGGTTAATACAATATTCATTTAAACATGGAATCCCATTATCCATAAGTGAATGAATATCCCATAAGCGACCCGAATATGTCCCGCCCATTCATTTTATCGAAATTCTGTTTAGCATTTAATCGATAATCTATCGTCTATTGTCGTAATAATATTCTTCTGTTTTGGTATTTGCTAATCAAACTCATATAATCATTATTAATGTTTCAAAATGTTGCCATTCGAGGTTCAGATTTAATTTCACGTTTTTTGTCTTTGATTTTGTTCATTTTCTGAATAGAGTTGTTCAGCCACAGTTAACCCGTTTGTGAAGGCGGCCCATGAAATATCAATAGATTTTTTTTTTTATCAATAATGGAGTCCGATAAGATAAAGATAATTTATAACACCAGCAAGAAAGATATCAATGCATTACGCCTAACATCTGTTTTGTCTAAGTAATAATTTATATAACTATAATGACAGCTTTGTATATATATTGTTAATTTTGATTTGCCATTTATAACTTCGTCTTTTATAAACTTAGAATTACTCAGTGTGGTCCAACCCGCATTTATCTCTTTTAGGATGTCTAATATATCGCATTTTACTTAAAGGCATATTTTAGACTGACAGCGTAAAGTAATATTATTGACCATTGATGTTAATATCTATATATCGTATCTATAAATTTGACGTTTCAGCTGTTGGTACAAGATATAGAAAGTTTGTATGTGTTGGTTGGCATGCCCTTAAGGTCTTCCTTACCGGAATGTGGGCGGAATATGACACCTTTTCCGGTGACATGTATCAGACACTGTAAGATTAAACTTGTTCGGTGCCTTTTACTAATTGAACGGGAAATACACAATTCTATGGAATACAGAATTGTTTATAACGCTATATGGGTCAGATTTCTTAGGTAAAAACGAATTTGCAGGGATATTATGTGGGTGGTCATACGGGGGAACTATTTTGAAGTTAGGACTCGCTCATTAATTTTATGCTAGTTACTGCACTTGCCCCTTTAAACATGAACTCCACGCTTCGAAAAGCTGCTGGTGGGCGTTTATTCGTTGCCTGGCATTAGAAATATGATCATGTTAACACCACTATATTATTATACAACTATAAAAGCCCTAAACAAACAAAGATAAAATTATTAAGTTGTTTTGACATATTCAAATGCCAGATGGTGTGTTGCCTTAACGACGCCAAACATAAAACTAATCTAAGATATTAACACTCTAATACGATCAATAAATAATCAATCATATATGATAAAACAAGAGACTGATTTGCGTCTTAGAATATTCCGATTTGAAGTAGCATGGTTGATGTATACGTTCGGTGTTGGGGGTAGGGATGGAAACAAATAAGTATCCCCAAAGCTTTCAATCCCTATGATCTTTCAAGTTCTGTGAATATACGTATTTGCTTTATGACCCAATCACACTATTGCGAACGAGGGAAGCGTATGCAATGCCCATGCAAATTAATAAAATAATTTTCATACGCACAAAATGCGCTCGAAAATACAGAATTGTTCGTATAACTTACCATATTGGATGAGTAGCGTATCGCTAGTGATGTTCGATACAGCTTTTCATCGTCAACGCCCCAGTACAAGTTTTCAAGGAACCAAATTTATTGAGGCCACCACTAGGCGCCTGATAATAATCTCTTTTTATTTGTTTAATTGTGTATTCTAACTGTCAAACTATTGACGTATCATTTAAGGAAATTCTGATAAAATCTGTGACACCAGAATCAGAATTTAATGCCATACAAATGGTTTGGGCCCTTAATGTGTATAAAGATGTATCAGTTTAAAATGTTCAGATCTCGGCTTACAGGTAATTTCCGGGGACACGGCTAAACAGGTTCTAATTATTACGCGATTATGGTTTATCGCAGCGTCAGCTACATGCTGCAACATCCTTGTGTCACTGTCATCTTCCTCCTGGCTGACCTTCAAGTGATGAAGATTTAGAACTGAGACTAAGGACAATTTTCGAACTGTGTCAGGATTCTAGTATCCGCCAGCCATACCTAAATGTGCATGATTACTAGTCTGTACGTTTGAATATACGTACTTCGAAACTGGTGTTGTGAAGACTGCTTTGAATTTGTTCAGAACCTTTTATAATTTTGAACAACACGTTTCCCTGACACTAAATAATAATCCATTGATTCGTTTCCTGAAGCTTTTCGTTTTCTTTATAAAATCGTCTTCAACATATCGATCAAAAACTATCGTGCAGCTACATCAATTATCGGCTTCAAAACAATTTTGGCTAGGTCGACAATAGATTTTAAAAAAATCGTCCATTTAAGGCTTGTTGAAAAGGCATTTCGAAACAGAATATACGTTGTCTGGTTGACAGTTTGTTGGTGGTATATCTGTGTATTAAGGGGGTATTGATTCTATTTCCGTGGAATGGTCAGACTTTGCCTTTTTTGGAATCGTCCCATCGCCAGTGAACGTTAAGGAGGATACACCAGCGGACTCGCGCGACAAGACTTGGGTAGGTCGCTTAACTGCTCAACAAGGTACTACACGAAAATAGTAATGTCATTTTAAAGTCGGCTCGAAGACTTGCATGTCATTAACCTAGTCAGCGGACACATAATGTATTGCAATCTTGTTAACTCACTTACGGGATCATTTCCAGTAATTTAGCGTTACATAAATCATGTACACAGCGAATTGTTTTACGTAAATACGGCATTAAATCCATCCTGTCAAAGTAATTCAAACCGTTAGCTACAGGCACCAACCATAATAGAACAGACGCACCCTGTGATCGTGCTTACTATATTACTTAGATGAATTATGGATAGACTGCCATATATGGACAAATAAAGTGACTAACTCTGTTGATTTACAGTGTTGTTACGTTTACAATAGGATTTTTAAATTGCGTGAAATGCTCGCTGGTACTTTAATTGGTTACAATACGCAACTGACCCTCATTTGGGCTATCGCATTTTGTATTAAGACAATATGTAATTCGTACAAACTCTGTATTATAGACATGATAAATTTTACTGGGGTAAAATTATTAAGAAAATATAAAGAAGATTAATTTGTAAGCTATTTTATGTTAGCCAACCAGAGGTGATTTTCGGACATTCCAGAAAGAAGCATCCAAATCATGTCTTGAGCACGCCAGTTTTGAATTAGATTGACCAGTGTTGGGTAGTTTAAATAGAAATTTACAATATAAAAACAAATTATTATATGCCTATTATTAATCCTCTAAAGGCATAATATGGGCATTAAGTACTGATGCTGTCCGTCCGTCGGCCCTGTATTCCTTTCTTCTATCGCTCAGTCTATCTGCATGTCCTTTGTTTCGTAATTTGAATTTCATTGAATGTATTTGGTTTGTCTAGACTGATTTATTTGATAGTTTAGTATGTCGTCCTCAGGAATAATGACTAGTGGTAGGAGTTTAGAAATGGTTCCACTACTGATGTCTTCCGCCTTACTCCAGCCACAGTAGTGGCTCGTCCTACAGAATTCCTTTGCGCAAGTTTTTTTAGTCAAATGACTACAAAAAGGTTACTGGCCTATAGCTCCCTTAATTTACACATAAACTGACCCAAAACAGTACTGCACATAGCTTAACATATAATAAATCAATTCCCATTGAAATAAAGATGAAGCCTTACAGCATAATTATATGATTTGATGAAACCCAACTGCTTGGCGAAATTTCAACTGGCCGGTGTCATGGCGGCTTGCGTAATACGTCATTATAAGAAACATCGCTATGCAAATGTAGAACGCATAACCACAAAGAAAAACTGTTTGGTAACTATTTTAGTGGTCCAGTTTTCACTATTTGTCATAGAATTACTTATTCCAATATTCCAATACAAACTGTAATGATATGTGTTGACAATTGTGCGTTTGAACCTATTTGAACTTTCGTAAGGAGTCTTAAACTGTATCAATTGTAACGTTAAACACACAGTTTAACGTTACAAGTATAGTAACTAGTAGGAGTTAGGCAGGCCTGTGTCTATGGGCAATACTACTTATCTCATAGTACTTTGATAGGAATATAATGGCATGGTGTTTATTGTGTCGTCGACACTTTACTTTCGCTAGTTTTAGACTAACATGGTAATTTTTTCCTATGGTAACGTATTGAAATTTTGACCAAACAGTGATATGTCCGCCTACTCTTTGAATTGCTATTGCCAAGGGATATTTTATTGCCGAACTTTTTGGTTCCGCTGCGTTATTTAAACGTTTGGTGTCGTACCAAATTCTTTATTAAATTGGGCCATTTCCCCTACTATCACATTCTAACAGATGAAAATAGTTCTATATTTTAGCATAATAATCTTAAAATAGAGAGATCAGCTACATTCACAACTAATTTCAAAGACGTTTAGTAAAAATAGTGCTATAAATTGTGATAACAAACCTGGACATGAACTTTTATTGCAACTGCCTGTTCGTCTTTGTTTAGAATCACCTTGACACTCCTCGCCATTATACATTGGTCTCGGATTGGTGCAAGTTCGAGTTCTTTTTTCTGGTATTTCACCATTGCCGCATGTAACTGAACATAGGCCATCTGTTTCCCAATCGGTCCAAACTGACCAATCTCCGTTCACTAAAGTATAAATGAAATATAAAAAATGAGCAGTTTTTTTATTTTTTCCAGAATCCGTGTATGTGAATTTCTGGAATACGAATACATGTATGTATGTTCTCAATGACAGAGATACAATTTTATCAAAATCAATTTCTATTTCCTTCCCTTTATTGTGAATGTGCATCTTTTAACAGGCCCGTAGTTAGCGGGGGCAAGGGCGGGGGGGGGGGGGCAGCCCAACCAATGTCACTCGTCTTTATGGGGCGCCCATACTGATATGGGCACGTTGGTCGTTGGCTTCGTATTGCGTCCAATGGAAAGCCACTGCCGCTACCTATTAAGATGAAGAGGAGTAAACAACCTGAAAGTAAAACAAAACGAAATGTTTCTACAATTTTTATTAGACAGACAGAGATATAGATTTTTTGATTAGTTTAAAGTTCAGACGTTTAGTAAAAAATAATGCTTTAATTGTGATACCAAACCTGGACATGAACTTTCATTGCAACTGCCTGTTCGTCTTTGTATAGAATCACCTTGACACTCCTCGCCATTATACATTGGTCTCGGATTGGTGCAAGTTCGAGTTCTTTTCTCTGGTATTTCACCCTTGCCGCATGTAACTGAACATAGGCCATCTATTTCCCAATCGGTCCAAACTGACCAATCTCCGTTCACTAAAGTATAAGTGAAATATTAAAAATGAGCAGTTTATTATTTTTCCAGAATCCGTGTATGTGAAATTCTGGAATACGAATACATGTATGTATGTTCTCAATGACAGAGCTACAATTTTATCAAAATCAATTTCTATTTTCCTTCCCTTTATTGTGAATGTGCATCTTTTAACAGGCCCGTAATTACCGGGGGCAAGGGGGGGGGGGGCAGCCCAACCAATGTCACTCGTCTTTATGAGGCGCCCATACTAATATGGGCACGTTGGTCGTTGGCGACTACCTATTAAGATAAAGAGGATTAAACAACCGAAAAGTAAAACGAAACGAAATGTTTGTATAATTTTAATAAGACAGACAGAGATATAGATTTTTTGATTAGTCTAAAGTTGTGAATTCACGATCAAGAATATAGAACAGGAGGATATACTGACCCGGGCATGGCGTATTAAAACATTCAACTTGTCGACGTTCAGTGCTGTCTCCCCAGCAGTCTTCGCCACCATATTGTGGTTCTGGATTATCGCAGACACGTGTTCTAGTTTCTTTGATGAATCCTGCTCCACACGATTTAGAACATTTACCAAGGGGAGCCCAGTCTTGCCATTCATTCCAATTACCGTCAACTTAAATTAACAGACATATTTATGTTATGTAACTGGGGTCAGTCTCCGCTTTGAACTAAGTATGAAACAAAGAAGACAAAAGTGAATTTAAATCGCCTGAAATGTGACAAACTACTAGACTTTTGACAGTTGCCTATTAATACTAAATTTGGATGCCATTAAGTCTCAAGTTATCTGCTATTTTTAACTATTTTTATCGATTAGCTACCCCAGTATCGCGCTTTCAGTTATATGTCTCCTGGAGGGGACTGTATTTCCGACACTTAATGTATTTTATAAGGATTTCGAAAAGGAAAATATAACTTATATCGCCTTCTTTGTCATTGTGAATACTACCATTGCTAATTTATTTCTAGTTACTGAGAGTTGTATAGCTGCTTCATAGAAATACTTGAGCCTAGTTTGATTTTTAGAATTAAAGAGTTGTGTGTCTTGAACAGGGCCATCGCTCGACACGTGCACACGCGTTTTCTCGGGTGTAATACGTTGAAATAATTGACCGAAGAAATCCTAGCTCATCAAGAATATTTTAATAGAAAAAAGTGACATCTATGAATTTGTATAGTAGTCTTTCCGCAAATATCCAGTAGTTTTCAACCAGATCTTCGTTTGCGCTTCAAAATGTTTCATTTGGCCTTGTCATTGTATCAGTGACGGAGCTGGGTATTTATAGACAGTGCAAACGATAAGGGTTTACCCATATTGCTGAAACAATGGTTACAGGCATTATCAGCTCTCTGAACACTTACTATAGAAATCTACATCAGTGGCCGGTCCATATATACTGATATATCTGCTAATAAGTTTCTAACTTGTCTATAAAAGTGGCAATTATTATTCGATTTACATAAACGTTTCACCATGTGATGCGATTTCTGATTTTATAAAACTAATTTAACATTTTCATTATCACCGGAAGTAATGTAATCTACCATTTAGTTTAAGAAGATATTGTACATCTCTATATTCTTTTAAAAACAACTTAAAACACATTTATTTAATAAGGCTTTTAACTGACTGTACAGAATCGTTAACATATCCATAATCTTGTTGTTTATTTATGATCATAGTCACTTTGTAAAGGGCCCCTGAACATATATGAAAGAACGAAATGTAAAAATAATAAATTCATTCATGCATACAACAGTTACATGCTAATTGAAGTAATTACGATTAATGTGCCAGTGACGCTAATACTTCAAAGAAAACATATTCGCCCATAATTGCTTAAAGTGTGGTACTGGTTACTGAAGACATAATGTTCGATACCACTGCTTTGGAAAACTTGGATAGTAAGCTGATCTAATGCGAACGAAATATACATCTCAACGAGGTAGAGAAATGATCTCATAATGTTCGCTACCATTGCTTTGGAGAAATGAGTTATACGTTGCATTAATGAGAACGAGTTTTACATCTTTACCAAATCAAAATGCTAGTTACCATTGCTTCGGAAAATGGGGTTATACTCGGCATTAATGGGAATGGGTTTTACGTCTAAAGTGGAAAGACAATATGGCGAACTGTCTCTTTAAGACTTCAAAAGACTATCATTACAAACATTGCATTGTATAAGTGAATAAGCGATACAAGTTTAGCATTGTCTACCCATTATCGGGAGCTTTCAGACGTGATAATAATAAATTTACACCTTCTCAGTTCAAGCATACTCAACTTCATTCGTTTTACTAAATTCAAAATGTCAACAAAAATTGAAAAATACGTCACTTTTGCCGAGGACAGTGCAGAATGTCAAAGTACAGAAGGAATAATTAGCTACATGGGAAACTATACCAAGTTGTGTAGGAAGATAAGCATTCCCAGTCTCATGAAGGATTTTGTTTAGTATTTCCATTTAGTTACTTCATCAAATGGCTGCCTTCAATTTAAATAAAGCCAAATTCAATAATAATGGGACATGAAAAATATTAAATACATACAAGTCCAAAAGTTATTCAAATAATCAACAGCAAATACAGAGACTAAGACTGTGCCAAAGCAAATATTAAGAACATGTCGGTCCAAAAACTATGCAAATCGAACCATTCTAACGAAAATTATAGCCATCTGACGCAGGTTTTTATAGGTTTGTCTACATGAGTTCTAATTACTTCCTTAACAATTAAAGCCAGTATGATTACTTAATATCTGTCCTGGTCAAGGTCTGGTCAACTGAGCAGAAACTTCTTAAAGATGCAGTAGTGCCAATCTTCACAACTAAACAGGCATTATGCAAGAGCTAAATCTTCCTATTGTAGGTCTATCTTTAGGCATTGAATTTTATATATATTATAAATTAAACATTAATTAACTTACCAAGACAATAATCAACTCTCGATGCCATCGTATATGCTTGAATTTCAATAGAATTAAATACGTTTTGCGGTTGATGCGGTTACCGTAAAAATGGATAATCGAGACATTGTTTATTATCGTAACAACGGTAGCAATGACAATAAAGGTTACATTTTCTTCTAACGATGATAACGAGGCTAGAGTGAAGTAATTTGACTGAAATTTTCAACATATTACCTTTTCAATATCTATTTTTTAACTATTATAGCGCGAACTGCCACCTCTTTATTTAAATCTTACATAATGCCCACTTAGTATAGAACGAAAAGTACAGTTTATTATTGGACTTACTTGGGCATGGGTCTGTTCCACAAATTTCCGATTTTTGCTGAAGCGATTTTCCTTCGCATCTAAGACCCCCGAAAGCTGGTTCTGGGTTGTTACATTTGCGGATTCTAGTGTAGATCTGTTCCCCTGTACCACATGTCGTAGAACATTTGCCATTTACTGTCCAATTACCCCAGTCATTCCAACCACCATCGACTGAATCATATAAACATACCGTTGCTCAACGACAAATCATTGCGCGACTCCGAAATTTGATAGTGGGACGATGAACATGCTATCAATACATTTTATTGCATATTCAAAGATTTAAAATGTACATCTTCATTGATATTAAATTCTCGATGTAAAGTTCATAGAAAATCGTCATTGCAAAACATTAACGATCATGACAAGGTGTACCGAAAATATTCGACCAGTCACCACCGACTCATTGATGAATAGGCATGAGATACGCATTCAATTAATATAACCGGGTAATTTCAGAACTAATATTAACTCATTTACAACATCTTCATTAACGTAGATGTGATTTTGCTGATTTTCGGACTTGCACGTGATATATTGTCCTTCCACTACCTCACTTATGCACATGGATATCTTTAAAAGTGGGTTGGTATAACTTGATAAGATGTAGGTAACCCTACTATGTGTCCCGTGTGGGATCGTACCTGCAGAAACACAATAAGAGTAAACCTACATACCAGGACATGGATCAAAAGTGCATTCTTCTTCAAGTGTTTCATTATAATTTCCTTCACATTCTTCACCCCCAAATTGAGGTGTTGGGTTGGTACAGGTTCTGGTGCGAAGTTGCGATCGTGTTCCTGTTCCACATGATACTGAACAGTCATTCGTATATAACCACTTGCTGTACTCAGACCACCCTCCATTGACTACAATTTACATACACAGATACGCATTTAATAGAGAGTAAGATAACAGTGGCGTGGGGGCACATGCTCAGCAAGGGGCGTAAGATTTTGTAGTGCCGCCGCAGTGGGGTTATTAGCAGCCGCGAGCAAAACCAAATCAGGGGGTGAAAGGTGGCACGGGCACGCCACCGTAGACCACGAGTTCACCTCTTTACACCCCACTCCTCATACGTGTTTTGTGAATTTGTACCCCTTTTGGATGTTAAAATTGTTTACAGTTATATAACGTAGAACTAGAGGGCAATAACTTAAGCGAAAAGTAAAATAGTGAAAATGAACCTTATTTACACAATAACTACTTACTCGGGCAAGGTACTGGGGCACAGTCGACTGATTTTTCTTCAGATGTATCCCCCTCACATTCTGTCCCACCATATAAAGGTGCTGGATTAGTACATGTTCTGTGCCTGGTTTTGATACCTTCTCCGCCTCCACAAGTTGTTGAACAATCGGTAATATCTCCCCAATCTCCAAAATCACTCCACCCACCATTCACTGAAATATAATTTGCAGGCCTGTATAACCTATGCCCCTGGGTCATAACTACAGCACATTATTAAGGGTAGAGTGGTGTCCACGATCAATTAATTCACTACTGAGTACCAGTTTGTGAGATGGGGCGGGGCGATTACAGGGTATATAATGAGAAAGTCGGGAAAGTTTAAAAATGAGATTCGCAAGCCACCAAAAATTAACCCTCAAATGAATAAAATGCAACGGAGTTTAATGACCAACATTCTTGCACCCTATGTTATAAAGACTGCTAGCAATTAAACGTATGTCTTTCTGGCCAATTTTAAAAAATTTATTTTGTCTTAAATATTAGATATCAGAAGCCCATCTTTTCACGATAAGATAACAACATTAATTTTCACTTAAATGGGCCAATAAGTCGTGTTTGTAATGTTAGGAGACTTGCCTCCTTCAATACTTTATCTTCTTAGTCAAGAAATGACCTAGTTTGTGTCGAGTGGACGTTAAACCCTTCCTCCCTCCCACGCGTAATCGCGAAAACAAACCAAACATTCACAACAGTTTGTCTGTAGTTTAAAGGGAAACAACCCCGATTAAACTAACTCTGGGTTTACTGAATGAATCATGAAGGAACCTTAAGACAGTGGTCGCAGTAATTTGTGGAACATTAAAACCCAATGATAAGTTTTGTTCAAACCCACTGACTGTTTATATATTTGGCAAGACATACACAACCCTCCTAGCTTCCCGCAAAGCTTTTATTCTTATCCAAAAAGCCGGATAATATTGTGTTGTAAAACAAATCTCCTTTCGGATTTGCAGGGAATAGTTTAAGCTAGTGTAGATTAGCCATAGATGGAGCCAATAACATACTAACACCCAAGATAATACTATCTTAATGGATAGCATAATATATCGTTAAACAGCTCAAATGTCTATATCAAATACTTCTATCCGTTTACAAGGAAAGACCGCCGAGTGTAATTTAAGGGGTTGTGATTTACTAACATATTTATAAAACAAGCCGGCAGTGAGACCGATGTCCCCCGCCGAAATCCCAAAATGAATAGATAACACATATTGATTAATTACACATTTATCTTTTTAAAAAGTATTGATTAATCGAACTGATTATCTATACCTAGTCTAAGTATACACCAAGTATCATCACTCTCACTTTATTAAAACTAAAGTTAGCGTTTCCCAAAGAATCAACCAATCAAATTGCTTACCTCTGCTTATCCTAAGCGGAAAATGTTCATCTTCAAACTTGGTTTAAACAATATTTTATTCAATATAATTACATATAGTCATACAATTGCACAGTCTAAAGGATATGAAAACAAGCAGCATGCTTAAGAATATCGCTTCAAACTTAGCCAAGGCAATCACTTAATGGACGTCTACTGTCTACACCAAATTTGAACATTCTATCTCAATTAGTAGGGGAGTTCTTGTGTTCCAAAGTCTCGAACAATCAAATTGCTTACCCTCAGTAAAAAATGCTCAATTTCAAACTTAGTCAAGGTACTGATGTAATGAAATTATACACTAAGTTTCATCACTCTTACGTTAATAGAACTAAAGTTATCGTGTCCCAAAGCATCAACCGATCAAATTGCTTATCTCTGCTTACCCTCAGCAGAAAATGCTCATCTTCGAACTCCATCACGGTATTTACCTAATAAACACCTACATCAGGTTTGAACATTCTAGCTCAATTAGAAGTAGAGTTAGTGTGTCCCAAATAGTGTGACAGGCAGACGGACAGGCCCATTTTATAGTCTCCTGCTTTCTTCGAAAGGCGGGGAACAATAAGAATGTTACTGGCCTTGGCCTAACCTCGGATTGCGTGGCCGAGTATTTTAACGCATGTACTTCAGATTGAGATCACACGGTCTGTCTTTGAGTCAAGGGGCGTGGTTTCGACCCCAAGCGTATAAGTGGATTTTCTTGGGCTCATTCGATTTCCTCTGACTGCTAACAACCACTACGCATAAGCGAATTATTGAAATAAAATTATATCACTTCAGTCCCGATATTGCCTAATTTGAGTCGAGTGAACGTTAAACTCTCTCCCTCCCGCCCATTTCTCTATCTTTCTCTCTCTCTCTCTCTCTCTCTCTCTCTCATCTCTTGCCTCCCATCGGTCAGGTACCCATGGCTGCTCCTGAGAGCAGATTTCCATTGCTTTGCTACCCTTGGTTATCTTTGGTAATAGGCTATTTTATTGTATAAGATTTGCGGTCAAACGTGATATTTGCTTGGCATCCGAATAAAAACTACTATATTGAAGATTGTTAAACTCTCGGATCCCCCCGGTCAGGTACCCATGGCTGCTCCAGAGAGCAGACTTTCATAGCTTTGCTATCCTTGGTTATCTTTGGCAATAGGCTATTTCATTGTATTGGATTTGCGGTCAAACGTGATATTTGCTTGGCCAGCATCTGAATAAAAACTACTATATTGAAGGTTATTAAACTATTCGCATGATGTTTAATCTTGCTTATCCTCCATTAGCCTTACCAAGCGCATCTGTCCTGTATTAATGCTTTTCTTTTGTTTCGTTTTAGTCTAAAAGTCTTAATAACGGAAGCTCCTGGTCCATTATAGTCTGAGGAAGATAGTAAATATTTAAAGCAAAGTGATTATTGCCATTTACATAAATAAAATTAACACAATACATCTCAGCAAATCGCCCATTGGTTAATAACACCAATTGACAGGGTCTTCTTATCCTTTTATATTTGTATCATCCGATGTCACGTCGTTGTTCTGTATCTCGTGGGGTTTTTTTAGTTAACAAATGATAGACCCGTGTAATATATAACACAATACCCAGTAGGCCTAAGTAAATGATACGTATAACATAAAATATATACAAAGGTTTGTTGGAAAACAGTTCAACAATTTAACAGAGTTTACTAAGTGTAATGAACAAAACTGAAGGAGCTGAATAAAACAAAACAGGTTCCGTATGCTTATGGGTAATCAAAGGAATATACTTAAGGTTTATACTAATAATAAACAGTTGGTTTCTTTCTTTGGAAACCACTTTAATAGTTTAACAGAGAGCTACTTGCATATCTTTATTTTGGTATCAAATGTTATATAACTTATTAATTAAAACATTTATTCACATTTATTCAGGTTGTGATTTTGAGCGGATTAAACACGATCGCCATTTAATAATTTAATTTATAAATGGATAATCGAGACTTTGTTTATTATCGTAACAACGGAGCAATGAAAATCGAGGCTATGCTATTCTTCAAACAGTCATAACGTCGCTTAGAATAAAATAATTTGACTAAAATGTCCAATCTAGTCCCGTTTCATTATCCACGTTTTAACTAGTATAGCGAAAACGACAAGCTCTTTATCTAAATCTTACAGAGTGGATCTTTAGGGACCATGATCAAAAATGAGGGAACGGGATATGCATAGGGATGACCAGATTAAGACAAGCAGAGATGCCCTATGCACTTAAACGATTTTGTTGCCCTTATAAAATTAAACATATAAAAAATATTAAAGCGTAAACATCCGTTGAGCACGTGTATAGAGTTTTTCTGGGGATTTATACACGTCATTATTAATTGCAACCTTATTAATTGCCCCCATTTCCATGATATCCTAAACACGTGCTTATTTTGCATAATGGTTAATCCAGTTCTTGTCGGCCCTTCTCTGTGATTAGTAAGACCGCCAAGTACGACGTAGATACACAACCAATGAGGTTTCAATCACCAGATAAGCTAGCGCCAATAATTCTATTCTATAATTGTCGTCCTTAATGAGCTTTGTTTCAGGCTTTAGTAATTCGAACAATTTAAAGTCGGTTACTTGTAATAATGTTGAATATTGCCCATTGTGTATCTTTAACTTACTGTAAACAAACGTTATTTTATTAATGTATTAATTTAAGAATTAGAGTTTTCAAATTAAAGTTTTAATAAATTAATAACAATATTTATGCTTTGATATTTGTTATTTAACACTGAAAACAATAACACAAATATTTTTTAAGCATTCCAGACGATTAAATTCTACACGCGCCATTTCTTTTAAATTTCTTATAGAAACATTTCTAAACTCGTGTTAAAATGTCTTTTTTTTTGTATTGTAATAATTTAAATAGATCGTTATCGAAATCACATCCTCAACTAGTCGAAATCACAGCGAAGGACCAGGAATCGCCTCAATGGTTGTTCATGTGATTATTCATAATGGCGGCGCCCATTGATGAACATTTAGTTCAGACACACCTTTATCAGTTTGGGGAACAATCAATGTAGCTACCCAGCAATTTGAACCACTCTTTCATGTCACCTATCAACATTCTGGATCCTTAATCAGAGGCGGATCCAAGGGGGGCGGGGCGGCGCTAATTTTCGACAGTGCCCTTTTTTACTGCTGAAAGTGCCTTTTCTCAGACCCAAATATGTCCATTCCCAACCCGTTGCAGGGATCCCAAATGACTCAAACCATCGACTCAAACACACCAGTCTAGTCTAATTGATGGTTCCACTTTCAAACGAATTCTTGTTGATAGCATCTTGTGGAATCGGCGGCGTATACACTCATGCCCATCACCGACGCGGATGAGTGCAACTTGATGTAGCATTGTTTCATGTGTGGACAGTACACAGTACAAGTTACAAGGCTTAAATAGTGAAGTGGCTAGGGAATAGATTCGTCTTTTTTCCCATCATAATGCCTCGCTCGCCTTGACAATTTTCGAGTCGCATGTTCAACTGGCTTTTTTGCTCGATTTTAAGGCTCTTTTTCAACGATTTCCGAACGTTTACTTAGACGAAAATATCAGCCAAATAGCTCTTGGAATGGCTACAGATGCAAGGAAATGGCGGATAATTTTCTTGGGGGTAACCGCAAAACCCCCCTCTCAGCGGTGTGCCCCGTCTCTGTGCTCAGTGCCCTTAATTTCCGGCGCCCCCACCCCTTTTCAAAATTCCTAGATCCGCCCCTGTTACTAGGTTATGAAACCTCAAAAAGTTGGCCTCGTCACATCACCTTTGTTGTTGACACAACAGTCTTCACCAATCATCAAAGAATTCCAAGATATTTTCAAGGAATTGGTAAATTGAATGACTACCAATTTAAAATTCACATCGACGAAACAACCAGTTCTCGCCCATTGTTATCGTCCCCAAGAAAGATCAGAAGTCTGTACGCATTTGTGTTGACATGCGATCACCTAATTACCTGTCACCCAACACCCACCTTAGACGAGATTATCCATGATCCCAATGGTGCATCTGTCTTTTCGACATTAGATCTCAAACAAGGCTACCACCAGATAGAAATGCACCCATCATCTTGACACCTACGAGTAACAAGCTTTGCCACGCACATTGGGTTACGACGTTACAAAAGACTTCTTTTTGGTTTATCATCGGCATCCGAGATATTTCAACATATTATCCAACAGGTACTTGATGGCATACCTGGAGTTAAAAATATCTCAGATGACATCATAGTGTTTGGCAAATCTACCGAAGAGCACGATACCTCTTTACGTAGAGTATCCTGTCGTCTACGAGAAGAAAAATCTTACTCTCAACATTGACAAATGTCTATTTAATCAAATCAAGTTGATTTTTTCGGATTCACTTTCTCCAATAAAGGTATCTCACCTGATCATCCAAGGTAACTGCCATTCAACAAGCTAACGTACTACAAGATGCAGCAGCAGTACGTAGTCTAGTTGGAATGACTATTTTTCATGCCCGTTTTATTCCAAATCATTTCATCATCACTGATTCTCTACGAGACATAACCAAGAACACCAAAAATCATTCCAGAATTTAAAGCACAGTTTATCTGCTGACAATGTTACTTCCCATTTCGATCCAACCAAGAACACAGAAATCATTGCTGATGCAAGCCCGGTTGGAGTTGGGGCTATTCTTACCCAGATAGACGATGATAATACTCGTTACATTTTGAGTTGTGCGAGCAGAACACTCATTGCTGTGGAACGACGGTAGTCACAGATAGAACGTGGAGCACTCCCAATTGTACTCGCACAAAAAGGGGGAGAGAGAAAGGGGGTTTAACGTCCACTCGACACAAACTAGGTCATTTCGGGACTAACTGCACAAAACAAGGTATACCTTTATCTCAACTGACTCACGCATATATAACAACAGTAGGTAGGTTTATTACTTTTCAGTTTTGTGTATTTGTTTCAAGCATTGGGTAAAATACCGGGAAAGGGGCCGGGGTTGCAATTAATATTCTGAGTTCCAGCTTCACTGCCTTCACAATCAGCACCCCGGTGAGCTGGTGCCGGCTCTGAACACGTCCGTGTTCTGATCTGCCTGTCTTGTCCCAATCCACACGAAACATTAAACGCTCCAGAACGTACTCTAACCAACCTCAAATAATATAAAGAAGATACATAGTTTGCTAGTGCAAATACTCATGTACCACCTAATTATTTGTGTCACTCTTACTTTTTGCGCCACTACTTACTATCATAAAAAAAATTATTTCGCATAGAATTTTGCCAAAGAAAAATATTAAAAGAAATTTGGAAAGGAAAATATAGTGGGTCAAGTCTCAGGAGTTTTCAGAATGTCGAAGGGTTTCTGGGACTAATGTTTCAAATATCTTTTTGTTTAGACATATTTTTCGTAAACTTCACTAAGTAAATATAATTAATAATTAAATCAGATCATTTCTCATTATGCATAACGATTATTGAATTACCTTTTAGAAACATTCTCAGATATACTAGAAAATGAACCTTCGATTTTACCGTTCTCCAAATTTTCTCAAGGGCGGGGGAGAGGTTCACGGGCCTCGGCCCTCATCACGTGCCCGGGTGGAAGATACATTTAAGTTCTCGAAAGTAATTCCATACCTCCTAGCACTCTAGCACTTGATATTTACAGAACAAATGAGCACTCAATACAGCATGTGCATAACAATATACTGACAACTCAGTACACGGGCCTGTATTAAAGATACACATAATATACATGTATTATGGCATGGGTTGACATTAAATATCGATACACTTAGTAGAACATATGTGTGGTACTTAAGATACATATAACATAATAGATACACGTAGCTTACAAGGACATAAGTGTGTATTAAAAACACATCTAACCTAATAGAAAAACGTAACTTTCTAGGATATAGGTTTGCATTAAAAACACTTGTAACGTACTAGGACATGGGGTGTTACTAAATATATATGTGTAAAACAATATAACATATCTGGTGCTAAAGATATAATCAACTTACCAGTACCAAATATACACGCAACTTTTTAAGGGTGAGATAATACAACGATACGAGTAACTAGGACACAGGATGACACTAAATATACATGTAACTTACTAGAATGTGGATTAGTATTAAAGATGCACATAACTTACTAGGGTGTTGGTTGGTATTAAAGATACACATAACTTACTAAAGTGTGGATTGGTATTAAACAATCACGTAATTTACTAGGGTGTGGGGTTTGTATTAAAGATGCACATAACTTACTAAGGCGTAGAATGGTATTACAGAATCCCATAATTTACTAGGGTGTGGGTTGGGATTAAAGATACACATAAAGATACACATAACTTACTAGGATGTGGATTAAAATTAAAAATACATGTAATTTGCTAGGATGTGGGTTGGCATTAAAATACACGTAACTTACCTGGACATTCGTGTACGTTACAATCCACGGGCCGTTGTTGACTATCGCTTCCTGTACACTCTGCTCCACCATAAGCTGGGGCAGGTTGAGTACATGTTCTTGTCCTAATCTGTTGTTGAGAACCGCCTCCACATGTTTTGGAACAGGGCCCCGAATTGCTCCATGATCCATAGGAAGTCCATCCGCCATTTACTGTAATCCATATGTATTCATAATGTAGGCAAAATGTATTAAAGATGCATATATTTTAATATGGATGCATATAATTTTCTACGGGATTGTATTAAATATATGATACTTATTAGGGTATATGGTTATTTATGATACAGTTATATAACCTACCAGGACAGGGATCTGTATTACATTCTACATGTCTTTGCTGGCTACTACTTCCATTACACTGTGCTCCACCATAAGCAGGAACCGGTTGAGTACATGTTCTTGTCTGGACCTGTTGTTGAGAACCTCCTCCACATGTCTTCGAACAAGGTCCAGAATTGACCCATGGTCCATATGAGGTCCACCCGCCGTTTACTGTAATTCGTGTGGATTTAAATGCAAATTGTGTTCAATAAATGATTGGTAGAGTGGAGTTCAGACAATTCAGAAATCTTGCAAAAGTAAGACTTTAGTCTGAAGATCAATAGTTCCTGACTGACCGACTTTGAAGCAACGGTTCATGTGGAGGAACTCTATGTAGACAATGCCCTGACAATACCCTTATCACGTCATTTCACATAGCCGCCGATTTTGTTTTGCTTTCTTTAATGTTATTAACGGGCTATACTATATACCAGAAAACACCGGAAAACTACCGGAAAACACCATGTTATACTGAATACCGGAAAACACCGGAAAAACACTAAATACCGGAAAACACACTAAATAACGGAAAACACACTAAATACCGGAAACCACCCTAAATAGGTAACCCGGAGAAGGGCTATACTATAATCCGGAAACTATCCCCAACCCTAACCCAGGCACACAGAGGACCAGGCTCCCGGTTACCTATTTAGGGTGCTAGTCTCCGGGTTACATATTTAGGGTATTTTCCGGTATTTAGTGTGTTTTCCGGTATTTAGTGTTTTCCCGTGTTTTCCGGTATTCAGTATAAAATGGTGTTTTCCGGTTGTTTTCCGGTGTTTTCCGGTATATAGTATTGCCGGTTATTAACTAGAGTATTGTATTAAAGATAAATAAGACATGCACCTGTGTAATAAAGGCGTAACCTCTTGGTTTGCCTCTTAATTATAATTCATGTGACCTACCCGGACACGGGTCTGTATTACATTCTACAGATTTTTGTTGACTACTACCCCCACTACACTGTGCTCCACCATAAGCAGGGGCAGGTTGAGTACATGTTCTTGTCTGGACCTGTTGTTGAGAACCCCCTCCGCATGTCTTCGAACAGGTTCCAGAATTTCTCCATGACCCGAATGATGTCCATCCCCCGTTAACTGTAAAATATTAAGATGACATTCATTGATTCTATTTAAGGTCGTATTTATTAGCCTGGCCCTGAGTTCACAAAACATTCTCAGACTTAAGTTAAGAATTTACTCAAAATTGTTTGCCTTATTTGAAATAAAATATAGCCCTTTATAAAACTTTTGTTGTTTTAATGTATCAAATACATCAATAAGAAACTATGTGCAAAGTTTTGTGTTTCTGGGTGAAAGATATTTCTCATAAACAGTGATTGAAAGTTGAGTAAATTTTTAACTTGAGTCTAAGAATGCTTTGTGAACTCGAAGCCCGGTTTCATTTCTATTTCGGGGGGTGGGGGTGGATGGCCGAATGGTTAGCGCGTTCGTGTTGCGTCATAAGGTCTATCATTGAGTCAACTGGCATGGCTTCGATTCCTCGGTTGTACTTGACAAGGAGTAGGATCGCTTGTCCAACCTCGTGGGTTTTCTCCCAGTCCTCCAGTTTCCTCCGATACGCGCATGCGAATTATTGAAATAAAATTGAACAAAATTTGAAACAGTTCATCTTTTATTTATCTGTAACGATTGTCCAGGCAAGGCAAATGACTACATACATTATCAGGTTTTGTTTATTAATGAAAAGTATAATTGAATTTAAACTAAAATAAGTGTATGGTATATTAAAGTTGTTTGTTGTGTGACTTACCAGGACAGGGGTTTGTGTTACATGGAACAGATTTTTGTTGAGTACCATTTCCACCACACTGGGCTCCACCATAAGCAGGAGCAGGTTGAGTACATGTTCTGCTTTGAATCTGTCGTTGTGAACCCCCTCCGCACGTCTTCGAACAGGTTCCAGAATTTATCCACGATCCGTAGGAAGACCACCCTCCGTTAACTACAAACAAACAGAGTAAATATAAATTAACGACACATGTGTTAAAAATGAGGTCTAGTATAAGTTATGTAGTAGCAAGGCTCTTAACAATGGAACAAAGCGGAGAGAGTCCATACAAAATGTACCTTTTATTAAGATATCCGACGAGGAAGAACAAGGGGCGCCATAAACTTTTTTTAACATACTCCAAATATATTTCTAGCAAGGCAACATTCTAGGCACAGACACGGATAAGTATATGATCCGCAAGACGACCAAAGTTTTACTATAAGAATGGCATCTCTGTACATAAATATATACGATTATTATTTATGACATCTAAACTATAGAATACGTACGGTATTCTAAACTATAGAATACGATTATTACTTATCTAAACTAGTTATAGAATATGATTATTATTTATATAACCTAGTTATAGAATACGATTATTATTTATCTTAATTCTAGAATACGTTTATTTTTTCATCTAAATTAGTTATAGAATATGATTATTAGTTTTCTAAACTAGATATGGAATATGATTATTATTAAAGATACATTATGCGAGATTAGATAAAGAGCTGGCAGTTCTCACTATAATAGATAAAAAAAAACTAGATACTGTAAAGGGAATTTGCTGAAATTTTCAGTCAAATTGATCCACTATGAACCGAGATTTTAGCGATCATCATTACTAAAGTCGTTAGGATAAAAAACATAGTCTCGTTTATCCATATCATGATTTAATTATGAATGGAAGTCGAGCAGCAAATGGGAACCTAATCCAATAAACATCGCAGCCTAGCGATGCCATCGAGAATTGATTATGGTCTGGATAAGTTAATTAATGTCTAATTAATACTTTAGATAACATTTCAGGCCTAAAGAAAGCCCTGCAATTTTGCCAAAGAAAAATATTAAAAGAAATTTGGAAAGGAAAATATAGTGGGTCAAGTCTCAGGAGTTTTCAGAATGTCGAAGGGTTTCTGGGACTAATGTTTCAAATATCTTTTTGTTTAGACATATTTTTCGTAAACTTCACTAAGTAAATATAATTAATAATTAAATCAGATCATTTCTCATTATGCATAACGATTATTGAATTACCTTTTAGAAACATTCTCAGATATACTAGAAAATGAACCTTCGATTTTACCGTTCTCCAAATTTTCTCAAGGGCGGGGGAGAGGTTCACGGGCCTCGGCCCTCATCACGTGCCCGGGTGGAAGATACATTTAAGTTCTCGAAAGTAATGCCATACCTCCTAGCACTCTAGCACTTGATATTTACAGAACAAATGAGCACTCAATACAGCATGTGCATAACAATATACTGACAACTCAGTACACGGGCCTGTATTAAAGATACACATAATATACATGTATTATGGCATGGGTTGACATTAAATATCGATACACTTAGTAGAACATATGTGTGGTACTTAAGATACATATAACATAATAGATACACGTAGCTTACAAGGACATAAGTGTGTATTAAAAACACATCTAACCTAATAGAAAAACGTAACTTTCTAGGATATAGGTTTGTATTAAAAACACTTGTAACGTACTAGGACATGGGGTGTTACTAAATATATATGTGTAAAACAATATAACATATCTGGTGCTAAAGATATAATCAACTTACCAGTACCAAATATACACGCAACTTTTTAAGGGTGAGATAATACAACGATACGAGTAACTAGGACACAGGATGACACTAAATATACATGTAACTTACTAGAATGTGGATTAGTATTAAAGATGCACATAACTTACTAGGGTGTGGGTCGGTATTAAAGATACACATAACTTACTAAAGTGTGGATTGGTATTAAACAATCACGTAATTTACTAGGGTGTGGGGTTTGTATTAAAGATGCACATAACTTACTAAGGCGTAGAATGGTATTACAGAATCCCATAATTTACTAGGGTGTGGGTTGGTATTAAAGATACACATTAAGATACACATAACTTACTAGGATGTGGATTAAAATTAAAAATACATGTAATTTGCTAGGATGTGGGTTGGCATTAAAATACACGTAACTTACCTGGACATTCGTGTACGTTACAATCCACGGGCCGTTGTTGACTATCGCTTCCTGTACACTCTGCTCCACCATAAGCTGGGGCAGGTTGAGTACATGTTCTTGTCCTAATCTGTTGTTGAGAACCGCCTCCACATGTTTTGGAACAGGGCCCCGAATTGCTCCATGATCCATAGGAAGTCCATCCGCCATTTACTGTAATCCATATGTATTCATAATGTAGGCAAAATGTATTAAAGATGCATATATTTTAATATGGATGCATATAATTTTCTACGGGATTGTATTAAATATATGATACTTATTAGGGTATATGGTTATTTATGATACAGTTATGTAACCTACCAGGACAGGGATCTGTATTACATTCTACATGTCTTTGCTGGCTACTACTTCCATTACACTGTGCTCCACCATAAGCAGGAACCGGTTGAGTACATGTTCTTGTCTGGACCTGTTGTTGAGAACCTCCTCCACATGTCTTCGAACAAGGTCCAGAATTGACCCATGGTCCATATGAGGTCCACCCGCCGTTTACTGTAATTCGTGTGGATTTAAATGCAAATTGTGTTCAATAAATGATTGGTAGAGTGGAGTTCAGACAATTCAGAAATCATGCAAAAGTAAGACTTTAGTCTGAAGATCAATAGTTCCTGACTGACCGACTTTGAAGCAACGGTTCATGTGGAGGAACTCTATGTAGACAATGCCCTGACAATACCCTTATCACGTCATTTCACATAGCCGCCGATTTTGTTTTGCTTTCTTTAATGTTATTAACGGGCTATACTATATACCAGAAAACACCGGAAAACTACCGGAAAACACCATGTTATACTGAATACCGGAAAACACCGGAAAAACACTAAATACCGGAAAACACACTAAATAACGGAAAACACACTAAATACCGGAAACCACCCTAAATAGGTAACCCGGAGAAGGGCTATACTATAATCCGGAAACTATCCCCAACCCTAACCCAGGCACACAGAGGACCAGGCTCCCGGTTACCTATTTAGGGTGCTAGTCTCCGGGTTACATATTTAGGGTATTTTCCGGTATTTAGTGTGTTTTCCGGTATTTAGTGTTTTCCCGTGTTTTCCGGTATTCAGTATAAAATGGTGTTTTCCGGTTGTTTTCCGGTGTTTTCCGGTATATAGTATTGCCGGTTATTAACTAGAGTATTGTATTAAAGATAAATAAGACATGCACCTGTGTAATAAAGGCGTAACCTCTTGGTTTGCCTCTTAATTATAATTCATGTGACCTACCCGGACACGGGTCTGTATTACATTCTACAGATTTTTGTTGACTACTACCCCCACTACACTGTGCTCCACCATAAGCAGGGGCAGGTTGAGTACATGTTCTTGTCTGGACCTGTTGTTGAGAACCCCCTCCGCATGTCTTCGAACAGGTTCCAGAATTTCTCCATGACCCGAATGATGTCCATCCCCCGTTAACTGTAAAATATTAAGATGACATTCATTGATTCTATTTAAGGTCGTATTTATTAGCCTGGCCCTGAGTTCACAAAACATTCTCAGACTTAAGTTAAGAATTTACTCAAAATTGTTTGCCTTATTTGAAATAAAATATAGCCCTTTATAAAACTTTTGTTGTTTTAATGTATCAAATACATCAATAAGAAACTATGTGCAAAGTTTTGTGTTTCTGGGTGAAAGATATTTCTCATAAACAGTGATTGAAAGTTGAGTAAATTTTTAACTTGAGTCTAAGAATGCTTTGTGAACTCGAAGCCCGGTTTCATTTCTATTTCGGGGGGTGGGGGTGGATGGCCGAATGGTTAGCGCGTTCGTGTTGCGTCATAAGGTCTATCATTGAGTCAACTGGCATGGCTTCGATTCCTCGGTTGTACTTGACAAGGAGTAGGATCGCTTGTCCAACCTCGTGGGTTTTCTCCCAGTCCTCCAGTTTCCTCCGATACGCGCATGCGAATTATTGAAATAAAATTGAACAAAATTTGAAACAGTTCATCTTTTATTTATCTGTAACGATTGTCCAGGCAAGGCAAATGACTACATACATTATCAGGTTTTGTTTATTAATGAAAAGTATAATTGAATTTAAACTAAAATAAGTGTATGGTATATTAAAGTTGTTTGTTGTGTGACTTACCAGGACAGGGGTTTGTGTTACATGGAACAGATTTTTGTTGAGTACCATTTCCACCACACTGGGCTCCACCATAAGCAGGAGCAGGTTGAGTACATGTTCTGCTTTGAATCTGTCGTTGTGAACCCCCTCCGCACGTCTTCGAACAGGTTCCAGAATTTATCCACGATCCGTAGGAAGACCACCCTCCGTTAACTACAAACAAACAGAGTAAATATAAATTAATGACATGTGTTAAAAATGAGGTCTAGTATAAGTTATGTAGTAGCAAGGCTCTTAACAATGGAACAAAGCGGAGAGAGTCCATACAAAATGTACCTTTTATTAAGATATCCGACGAGGAAGAACAAGGGGCGCCATAAACTTTATTTAACATACTCCAAATATATTTCTAGCAAGGCAACATTCTAGGCACAGACACGGATAAGTATATGATCCGCAAGACGACCAAAGTTTTACTATAAGTATGGCATCTCTGTACATAAATATATACGATTATTATTTATGACATCTAAACTATAGAATACGTACGGTATTCTAAACTATAGAATACGATTATTACTTATCTAAACTAGTTATAGAATATGATTATTATTTATATAACCTAGTTATAGAATACGATTATTATTTATCTTAATTCTAGAATACGTTTATTTTTTTCATGTAAATTAGTTATAGAATATGATTATTATTTTTCTAAACTAGATATGGAATATGATTATTATTAAAGATACATTATGCGAGATTAGATAAAAAGCTGGCAGTTCTCACTATAATAGATAAAAAAAACTAGATACTGTAAAGGGAATTTGTTGAAATTTTCAGTCAAATTGATCCACTATGAACCGAGATTTTAGCGATCATCATTACTAAAGTCGTTAGGATAAAAAACATAGTCTCGTTTATCCATATCATGATTTAATTATGAATGGAAGTCGAGCAGCAAATGGGAACCTAATCCAATAAACATCGCAGCCTAGCGATGCCATCGAGAGTTGATTATGGTCTGGATAAGTTAATTAATGTCTAATTAATACTTTAGATAACATTTCAGGCCTAAAGAAAGACCTGCAATAGGCAGATTTAGCTCTTGCATAATGTATGTTTAATCTAAAACAGTTATATAAAACCCTTATTATTTATAGAATGCCAAAACTATTGACCCTTCATGATTATTTATAAACTATATATAAATGTACAATTTGGTTTTACAAAACAACTAAAATTTTACACATACCTGGACAGTGGTGGGTATTACAAGAAACGGTACGAATACGTATCGAACACGATGATGGCTTGGTTGACGAAGTACATCGTGATATGACCATCTTTTGTTGTATCGTTCCGCCTCCACAGGATTTAGTGCAACTGGTATCAGCTACCCATGAATAGGCTTTACAATGAAAATAAAATAAGCAACATAATTATTATAATCCTTGAGTAACATTTAGCGAATAAGCACAATAAAACAACACTATTTATATCAAAACCCGTCACTGATTTGTATTACACTACGATGTCTGATTTAGTATCTCGAGCGCTGGCGATATTATTATTGTTATATATTTTTTCCATTCATGTCCTAAATTAGTCACCCTATTACACACTAAACAAAGCAGTGATTGTTTTCCATATAAATTGTGCTGTGTTCTTCATAAACAACATACTGTACGTAACTTTAAACTACGACATTGCGATAAGTTATATAAAATATACATGAATATACTAATTTTATGTTTGTTAAAATATAACATTATTCACTTACTGCAAGAGCAACCTGAGTATACTGTCCTGTAAAAGTAAACATAGAAATTTATAACTCTTATTATAAGTTTAGTATGTTCTATAACGAGTTCTTGGTTTCAGTACTAAAGAAAGTTCAGTAACTTTGCCAATCATCATTATATTATTATTATTACATAAATTTATATAGCGCAGATTCCACTATAAAGTGTTCGAATGCGCTTAACAATAATGGTATAAAATCATACAAAAAGAAATAAAATCATATAAATAAAACTATAATGGATAAAATTATTCAAAAATAAGTTGTTTATAAAAATTATGGAACCTCTATAAAATTATAAAACAAAGATAAATTATGTAAAAGCTTGTACAAATAGGTGAGTTTTAAGAAGTGATTTAAAAGTTGGTAAGGTGTGACACCTGCGTATATTAATCGGAAGTCCATTCCAGAGCAGTGGGGCTTGGTACGAGAATGATCTTTCTCCATATGTCGATAGTCTCGCAGTTCGACGTTTAAGGAGATAGTCACTTGATGAACGTAGACTTCGTGATGGTGAGTACCATTCTACTAGTTCACACAAATACGCAGGTGCCATTCCATTTAAACATTTAAAAGTTAAGAGTAAAATCTTAAAACGGATTCTATAAATAATTGGCAGCCAGTGTAAGGTGTACAAAATGGGTGTAACATGTTCGTTCAGTTTTGTTCTGGTAACCAGTCTAGCAGCTGAATTCTGGACTTTCTGTAGTTTATGCAATAGGCGACAAGGAAGACCAACTAAAAGAGAGTTAAGATTGTCAAGACGAGATGTAACCAGAGCATGCACTAACGATTTTGTTGCTTCGTCTGAAATATATTTACGTATTAGGCCAATATTACGAAGTTGATAATAACATGATTTACACACACTATTTATTTGATTTTCCATGCCCATTCGACTCTCGAAGACCTATATTACGGGCACAGTTTGACGGGGTTACATTAAAATCTCCTATTAAAACATTTTTATTACATTCAGAATCAATTTTAGAAAATAAATTATCAGAAACGAGAATGATATATTCAGTTTTATTGTCGTTTAACTTAAGGAAGTTGTTTGACATCCATGTTCTAATATCCTCGATGCAACATTCTAGCTGGGATTTAGATGGGTTAAAGTTAAAGAAGGCCTAAAGGATAGATACAACTGGGTATCATCCGCACAGAGATGGAATGCGATGCCATACTTTTTGACAATTCTGCCCAATGGGGTCGTGTAGATGCTAAAGAGGATAGGCCCCAACACATATCCCAGTGGTACTCCGCATTTTAGCTGTTTCTTATCAGAAAATAAGTCCCCAATACAGACTTGCTGTGTGCGGTTTTCAAGATAAGACTCGAGTAGTTTATGAGCATGACCAACGATTCCGAAATCACTCAATAACCGTTCTAAGAGAATTGTGTGACCAACTGTGTCAAAGGCTGATGACAGATCGAGGAGTATCAAAGCAACACATTTCTGAGAGTCAATGGAACATAAAATGTCATTTTGCACACGGAGCAAGGCTGTTTCAGTGCTATGGTTTCTGCGATAAGCGCTTTGAAATGTTTCAAGAAGACTGTGTTCACCAATGTATTCAACTAACTGTGAAGCAATGCACTTTTCCAGAATCTTAGAAATAAAACTAAGGTTAGAGACCGGCATCTGTAAAGGCATCCCTGAAAATGAGACTAAATTTACATTGACCTCTAAGAGAGTTTATATAAAGGCATACAAGGAAAATGAAGTAACGGGATAAATTTATTACATGTACATTTGAAACCTTATAACACTTGAATGTTGTCGCAGAATGTAATCTTAGAACTTTCAGCCTATTAGTTTATACGAGCTTTCAAATGTTATTCGAAATCAATGTCATGCTCATTTTGAAAGTGGTAGTCTTAACTTCCTTCACTAAATAACAATGACAAGACAGCGACTAGTTTTTCCCCATAAGTACAACGCCCGTATCACAATAAACGAAATGTACCTGATTTGCACAATGAAATTAACTTTCTCGGCCAACACCAGAATCAATCCCCGGACCTCCTGGCTACTTTTTAGTGCCTTAAATGATTTGCGCTTTATCTCCAAATTACTTCGAAAAACGCATTTGTACATAAATGAAAATATTCCTTGTGAATTCGAATTACATTTGTATATGGAACTAGTGTAACTTTTATAGCACAGACGAGACCGCCGTTTTTAAATTTCATAATTCACATTCTTAATTCCCTGTTGATTATAATTAACATTTGATATGGCGGACAGTGATATTTTATCACTCAATTGGTCTAACATCTCATCTTGTATTGCTTTAATATTGATCCATTGACAAACATAATTCAAACCTGTGAATTTACGACGTTACACAAGGGCCTCTATTTGGTCCCAATATCTTTGTTCTGTATATACGTCAAACATTAACATAACATTTTTATCTTTATTCCGAACAGTTACAAACATAAAATATAATACCATCAATACAAGATGACAAAGTATTGTAATGGTACGTGAAATCAAACCAAATAATTGAAATATTCATGACACAGTACTGTGGGAGTTTCGAAAACAGTAAGTATACTCTTTATATTGTGCGACACCAATCAGGTCGCCTATTTTACAATCAAAGATTCCGAATGGTGTTAAAATCCCCTGTTTGTCATCGAAGTGGTATCATCAAACGTTTCATTGGCCACCTTAATTTGTTTTCTTCTTTTTGTTTAAGAATGGTATTGGGTTATAAATAGGATTTGGAACTCAACTTTCTTACATCAAATATATCAACAACCCTGATAAAGAATTTCGTCGACTTTTGTTCGGCTAAGAGATGATTGCATCACTTTTATTATGTGTAGAAGGACCGCACCACCAAAACACATAAACAAATTTACACAAGACAAACTCGTGAACATGACACGCAATAAAAATAAATTGATACCTGTATCTGGTACATCTACTCCAAAGACCACAACTAACTGAATGCCTCTGTGTTGTTCCACATGAACCACTGCAGCTAAACATATAAAATATTTAATTAAAGATCAGTATGCAAGTAAGTACGATACGGTCGAAAAGGGGACTGGATACGTATACCTATATATTATTTGGGGCGACTTCTGGCCCTGCATTCGCTGTGGTATAAATATCGCGATCTAGAGATCCAGGTTATAGGTTTGGATTTTAAAAGCACGATATTCCAGACTAAAGGGTGAAAATTAAAGTGCAGTCTATAGACGTTATAGGGTTATAACCATTTCAAACGTTATACAAACTCCGAATTAGGTTGTAATTAGGGAGAGTGAATTGAAATAAAAAAATATATATAGACACAAAATAGAAGAAAGTAATAAGAAAAAGTTCAAACTATTGCATAGCACGTACGTATCGGCGAGAGCATAATTAGCCAAAAATGATATTAGAAATGAAACAAGGATCCACAATAATCCCATCTTGGTCGGTAAAATCTATACCAAACCTCGTCCTTCTAGTCACAAATGGTGCGTAGAATATGACAAGTAATACGAATTGCCAACCAGATATATAAAGAAATATGGGTATTAAAAATTATAAGATATATTTAATATTTGAATAAGTGTTATTGTAGACTTTTGTTGATAAATGGTATCAAGAGTCTAATGTTCCCTGTAAAGCTAACAACACACACGGGAAAGTGGATATCTTCTCAATCGGATAAATGTTTCTTACGAAAAAAAAAGTAAACTTAAAGATACATTATGTAAGATTTAGATGAGCAGTTAGGAGTGTTATAATAGTTAAAAAGAAATAGATAATGAGAAATGAATATATAGAAAATTCCAGTCAAATTGCTTTATTCTGAGCTAAATTATGAACGTTTGAGTTTTGACAAAGTTTCGATTGGCAAATTACAACTGCTACGATAACAAAGAAAGTCTCGATTATCCACTTTAACGTTAATTATTCATTTCGCTCGGTTGTTCTAATCCATATGTGAATACATATCTAAATAATAGTTTTTATAACATTTGAAGCCAGAAAAAGGCCTACAATACCCATAATTAGATCTTGCATAATGCATTTTTAAAGTTGCGTATTCGGTATACGATAAATATTAAATAGTTCAACAGACTCGATCATCCCATTCGAATGTATCTCCACTATGTGCTGACCCATTCTCGGGATACCACTGGAATACCAGTTTACTAATGGCAGCCACAACAAACATATTTTAAGCCCGCGTGTCAATTAGAGTGACATTGGATTGGCTTTGATCAAATTCTTATGAAAATGTTTTACACCAACCTTCCTGGTTTTTTTTAAAGCAATAACATCTAAGTATTTGTTCGATACGCTTAAATATTCATGTGAAAAATGCAATTATGTTTAGATTTAACTATTATCCCCGTACTATGTACCAGGAACTGACAATGACGTCATCGAAGCCATCATAGAATTGTGTCAAATTCCATGTCGATGTAAGTAGAATAGCGCTTAGGACCAGTTCCTGGTAAAAGAAACGAAGGACACGGCTACTTCTGGTGAGAGGGTCATGTTTGGTATTGTCAGCAATTTGTACAGACTATTTTAATGTTAAAATACGTGCAGAGGAAACGCAAAACACGTACATAGACAAACAGAATACCACGAACAATAAACATCACATATGCGTCAATGTTATCTGCAGTTGTATTATTCCGCCATGTTGTTTTCTGTT